AATTTACGTTTGATTAACCCTAAAGAGTTGCACACGATAAGATCATTTTACACCTTATTAGTTTTACACCTTCTTTTTGAATCTGAATCCGAATTCTGAAAGTATATAAAATGTTAAAAATGGTTAAAAGGTAAGCAAAATTCACCGTGTGAATATTGTGCTCGCGATAAAACGCTTTGATGTCCCATGATAGCCCCTTTGTTTACTTTTACGGACACTTTGGAGCTTCTATGCGAATTTCTTCACTTGGCACATCAAAGAATTCTTACTAGAATTCTTCAGCATCTCTCAGAACTGATTATTACCTAAAAACTAGTGTATTATTAAGAATTGGTGACCGTCACAAGCTGATCATGGTATCTACATACATATGTATGTATACACCGGGTGGTACCATAGAAACGGGCCAACAACTTAATAATAAATTCTAAAATGTTAAATTTTTGATTTTCCAATTATTTAACATCAAAAGTCACGAGAAAATATGTGTAGGGGAGTGACTAAAAAACTACTTGGGGATCTGTATTAGATACAAATGTTAAAATTTTTCTAAGAATTAAACACATTCCAAAATTTTGCAAATAAAAATACATTTGCCAGAGTATTGTTAGACCACACGTAGTGCACTTATGTGTACAACGGGTTGCGTTTGGTCACAATGATGCTGGATATTAACAGTATTTGAATTGTCAATATTTTTATCTTATGATTTATTGTTTAAGAGCTAAGAGCGGAGTCTCTATTGCCATTCGAAATAATAATAAAAACAATATTAAATCATGGACTAAAGTAAATGAACAACTGTTAATACTGGAAACGGAAAAAATGGGCACAACATCGTCATTGTCAGAGTGTATGCCTCAAATAAAGATGCAGATATACGGCACATAATGAGAGGTAAAACCATCAAAGAAGACGAATGGATGGACAGAAAACGATGACGGTCGAAATGCGAAAAGCGGCAGAGGCTATATATAACAGTACGCAAATTTAAATTAAGTTTTCAGAAATAGCACTACAGAACAGGAAGTAGAAATGCATACGGGCAGATTTATAGACATACCACAAGTATTAAAGGACTTGATAAAAAAAAACAGAACAAAGCAGATAGCAAGAAGGACAAGATACCAGGCAGATAAAAACAGAGCAAACAGGCTAAATAGAGAAGTCAAAACAGCACTACAACAACACCGTAGTTAAAGCTGGGATCACCACATAAGGGACATGGAAAAACAAGGACAAATTATGCAAAATATACACAGACGAAGACATTGACTTCATAGAAGAAGTCGAAAGACAAAGGAAAAGACCGGAAAACTAAGACGAAATAATACCTCCCACATCAGCGGAGGAGATAAACGAGCTAATCAAAAACAGCTCACCAAAATGGGCAGTCGGTCCAGACCAGATCACGAACAGAGCTCTAAAATACCTACCAGCGAGAGCCATAGTATACCTAACAAATATCATCAACGCAGTGCTAAGGTTCAAGAAATTTCTAAACAGATGGAAAGAGGTCCATGTCATAATGCTACCAAAGCCCGAAAAACACAGCACATTTTCACAGAACTATAGGCCAATAAGCTTACTACCAGCAATCAACAAGATTTTAAGCTGAAACAGATAGATTAGACATTATAATTGAAGCTTAATTCGGCTTTAGATCAGAACACTCCAGTGAGCTACAACTACTCAGACTAACAGAGTACATAGCAGCTGGATTCAACGACAAGCAATTTACAGGAGCTGCATTCCTGGATGTAAGCAAGGCATTCGATAGAGTCTGGCACAAGGGACTGATATACAAAATGAGAAGATACGGGTACAGCGGAGCAATGACAAGACTGATCTCTTAGTACTTGACCAACCGTAGTTTCAGAGTTCGGATAGGACTAGTCCTATCCGAGCTCGGGAACCCGAAGGCTGGAGTGCCACAGGGAGCGGTACTGTCACTTTTGCTGTACACGATATACACAGCAGATATACGTAGAACACAAGGTATACTACTAAGTATCTATGCCGATGACACAGCGATAGCGGCCAAATACAGAAACGTAGATATAGCGGTCAACAATCTACAAACAGCACTAGACGACGTAGAAGAATGGAGTCTAAAGAGGAAAATAGCAATAAACTCCGATAAGACGGAAGCTGTACTTTTTAAAAAGAGGCATCAATAACCAGAAGAACAGGTAACTGTGCAAGATAATCCCATCGAGTGGAAAAGCGAAGCAAAATACCTCGGAGTAATCATGGATAAAGGTCTAACTTTTAGCAAACATGTAGAAGCCACCATATAAAAAGCTAGCATGGCAAGAGCAGCAATAAGAGACCTATGAGGAAGGAAAAGTAAACTTCGTATCAAAACAAAAATAAGGCTAATAAACAGTATAGTCCTTTCTATACTAATATACACGTCACTTGCATGAGGACACGCATGCTACACGACGAAAAAGAAAATACAAGCAACACACAATAAAAGCCTAAGATAAGCAGTAAACGTACCAAAATACGTAGCTGAAAGATTCCTCTTTAGAGAATAACAACAAATCAGAGTGACTGACACTATGAAAGAAAAAGCCAGGATAAAGTTCGCAGAATTAGAGAACCACCCCAGTCACATACCACGAGAGATAATGAGGTATGACGCTTTCCATAGATTAAAGCACAAAAGACCTAGGCAACAAATAGTAGACTAAAATAAAATCCCAGAGAGAGAATTAAAATACCCCCGATAGAATCATAACCCCAAAAAACCCCAGAGAAAGAGGAAACCCCATTTTTTTCCAAAAATTCAAAAAACAAAACACAAGGAAGACAGTTCGTAGCTCAAAATACCCAGGATATCATCAAGTGGGCCCGCTTGCCTAAATAAGGATAAAATCTGTATTGTGGTATTGTATTATATTTTATATATTTTCATTATTATAATATAGATTATATACTAATTCTGATTTTTGTTCACAGGGTAACCTACAAAAAAAAATCTACAAAAAACACAAAAAATCGGCTTCGGCCACCAAAAAATTAAAAAATACTAACAAAAACCGGCGAAAGCCACCAAAAAAATTAACAAAACCCCAAAATCCGGACACGTAGGGCCCAACCCCTTGAGCACCAAGTCACCGAACTGAGCCGGGACTCAGAGCGGAGACTTGAGGCCCAAGTAAGCAGTTTTAGTTCGCGGATAAGCCACATTAAAATAACAGGAATATAGCGAAAATGCGCTATCCTCAGTTTTTACAAATCGGTTAAAGAACCATGTTGGGGTTCTATTACCCAGGACCTCCACATGAAGAGCATTTGGCTAATTGTTGTGCCTCTATAGCGCATCAGAGTGCTATAGGGGGAAAAGGGATGGTCTAGAGCATTGGAGCACGGTGGGGTGACTCCTGTTTATACACGAGTTAACACACCTTGCTCCAATGAATTGTTACACCCGATCGTAATTCATAGGGGTGAACATTTCTCATAGACTGGGTTCAATTAAATTGCATGCTTGCAAATTAAGTTTGGTGTATTATTTACACTATTACTTCAATATATTATTAAACAGGAGTAATCCTAGTCGCACGAAGCAGAAGAAGAAGAAGACTTCAACTTATTTTCAGTGGTAATTTTTAGGTTACGTTTATTGTCATAAAATTCTATAAAATGTTGGAATAAAATAAAAAAAACAGGTTTTACTTAGTTTATTGTTATATTTATCTTGATTTTATTCAATTATTTCTTAAAAAATAAATTGAACATAATATCAGTCTAACAACCAAAATCAAAGAACAAAGCGTGGCAGGTCACGTGGCAATACAAAAAATTGTATTTTAGTCCTTTTTGGTAAGTATAATAAATTAATAATACAATTAATTTAATTTACAAAAGTAAATTTTAAGACGTATACAATACATTTTAATACATTATACATCTTAGATAGTTATAGATAAATATGTAACTTGATACCATGATACTATAACAAAACAAGATAAGTCAACGCGCATGTTCTTGTGACGTAAGCCCGAGACAACTTTAATGACGACAAGGTAAATGCTCATGTTAATTATGTTGCTGTAATCGAGTTTGCTATCCTGTGTATTTCAAAACGTAGTGAATGATATTTTTATTTAATCATTGATGTAGTAAAGATTTTGTATATTATATTGTTATATAAATTTTGTGGTGAAAACATTCAGTTGATTTAATAAAATCCCCAAGGGCTAAAACATCGCCTGGAAATAGACGCAAAAGAAGAATGGAGGAAAGAAATCTATTAAAAAACATGTAAGTATTTTGGTTTTAGACACACTTTAACAGCAGAGCAAATGATTCTATAGATAATAATATATACTAATGCCCATATTAATAGAACTTGAAGTAATACTTTATTTTTGCTAGGTCCTTAAAAAAAGTTACTTTGGATGTTTATAGTATGTAGTTAACGGGAACATATTTTTCGTAGTTATAATGGCGACACATTAAACACAACAAAGAATTATTTAAAAAACTTAATAGAAGCTGCAAAATATGTAAATGTTAGCGAAGATGTAAAATTACTTTTTTTTTAGATGTAGAATGTATTTAAAAATACGAATTCTAAATCAAAATATTAAAGATAATTACAATATCCGCAAAAGAAAAATCACAAAGATTGTAAAATAAATGTCTAAATGATATTTATAAAGTCTCAAGTATGACCCACTTTTCTTTATGATGTAAATGTAAATGCCGGCAAAATGTAAATTCTTTACATTTTGCCGGCCTTTTATATTTAATTTATGTTTGTAGCAATAATTATTTTGTTTGTAATACACACAATCAAATCGTAGATTCATATATTTCTTTAATTAATTTTACAAATTACGTATTAATTTTCTAAACACGTTTTCACAGAAAGTAACTAGTTAGGACTTCTTAGTGCAAGATATGGCATCGAGGTATACTTACCGTTAACAGTTTAAGTTTTGAAGTTGTTCATTACAGTAATGGAACAACGTTGCCAATGATGGATCGTTAAAACATGATACATACAAGTCCCCTGGCTTTGTCTCTTTATGACGTCATGCGCAAAGTCGATTAAAATTAGAACAGCAAGTGAGCATATCTTGTTGTTATAGTATCATGACTTGATACTACATCGTTTTTAAATACTGCTGTATTTCTTCCAACGTCTTCCCCTTAGTCTCTGGTACAATGAAATATGTTACTATAACTGATATAAAATTACAAATACCGAATAATAAGAATGGTCCAGATAAGCCACTATATGCATAAAGATAGTAAAAGGTACTATTAGTGGTAATAGTTAGAACTCCGTACACCACCACCACTGCCGAGATGCCTTTAGATTTAATACTCGCTGAAAACAGTTCACCTTGCATCAACACAGGAATAGGACCAACTCCAAAAGAAGACACAAATAAGAAAATAATGAGACCCGCCAATGGAAACCAATTTATTGCATGTAGATTGATTTGCGGATACAATTTTTCCACAAGGAAATATAGTCCCACTAGTAAAAATATTACACTCGAACCTGCAAGAGATGTCATTAAAGACTTTCTTCGACCGAATTTATTTGAACCATATGCAGCAGAAGCGCATATAAGAAAATTTAGTGCAGTATATATTATTGTTGAGGCCTCAGAGCTTATATTGCTACCAACTTTCTGGAAGACAAATTGTGTATAGCTTCCAAAAACCCACAGTCCCGAAAGTATTTGTGCAGCTCTTAAAAATCCAGCTATTATCAAAGCTTTTCTGTTTACGTTGTTAAAAAATAAATCTGCCCATTTTCCAGATTCGGAAAGTTGTCGCTTTATGTCATTCTGCATAATTCTAAACTCAACTTCAACATCATCATTTTGTCTTAACTTCATTAGTGATATTCTAGCTGCAGAAAGTTGATTTTTTGCTATATAAAAAGATGGAGACTCGGGAATGAATGCAGATAAAAATAAAACTATTACTTGCAATATTAGAAAAAGGTAAGAAGTTACTTTAACGCTGCAGTAGATTCCAATTACATTTATAATAAAAGTCCCAAATATCACTAAAATAAAAAAAGCATTTCCCCAAATACCACGCACTTTTGGTGTAGCAACTTCTCCAATATACATGGGAATCACGCACATAATCAAAGCATCTCCCAATCCCACTAATACCCTTGCAAAATACAAAGCCCATAAATTAGTAAACAACGCTTTTGTTAACCAAGATATCATGTACGGTACAGATGTTAAAATGATTGCCTTTTTTCTTCCAATAATGTCAATAAATGGTTCTAAGAATGGTGAAAGGATTATTAGACCAATTATGTTTACTACAGCAAATAATGCTGCTTGATCTTCTCTAATGTTATAATGTACTTTATCTTCAACTATTTTTACCATAAATGGGGACGTCCATCCTGAGAGGGCGCCGCTGATGAATCCCTGCGAGGCCGCTTAAATTAAAAAATAGATTTATTTTTATGACTTGATTTTATTATAATAATTATACAGGGTGAGTCATAACTATTGGGTCATAGACTAAGGACAGATTATTTGGACCAAAATATGGCTATTGGGCCAAATGTGCCTTAATAAAATGTTGCTGAGAAAAAAGATACAGGTTGTTAAAGTTAATTTTTGTTTTTCGTTTTTTGCTAATAGTTTTTCTGTATATTTATAAATTGCTATCAAAATTGGCAGATATGCAAAATCTTAGACAAGAAATAGTATTTTATTTACAATTCCTCTATCAAATACCAAACTAATAAACAAAGTTGCAACTAGCGTAAGGTTTCCGTTTTGACGATAAATCAAAACTAAACACAGTTTAACGTAAAAGAACTCACAAAAACTCAAACTTAATGTTCTACATGGTCTCCTCCGATTTCTATGCCTTTTCTAATTCTTTTTATAGAGGATTTTCGGACGCTAAAAAAAATTATTCTGTCCCCTTATAAGATTAGTTGCATTTTAAGTGTATCTCCAAAGTTCGTCTCGTGTATTAATTTCATTGGCATAAACTAAGGACTTCATATCTCCCCAAAAATAAAAATCTAGCGGGTTGTACTCAGGACTTCTTGGTGGCCATTGAAAATCACTGCCTCTGCCAATTCATCGTTGAGGAAATACGTCATTAAGATGATTTCTAACAGCTAATGAAAAATGAGGTGGCGCTCCATCCTGCATAAACCACATTTTTCTTTTTACATCCTGTGACAGATCATCTAAAATATCACTAAGAGTATTTTCCAAAAAAATAAATAATAATCTCCATTTAAATTCGGAGGAAGAACATAAGGCCCTAGTAGTTGGTCGCCTATAATGCCACACCAAATATTCAATTTAAACTCATGCTGAAAATGTCTAGCTTTAATAGCATGCGGGTTTTCTTCTTCCTAATAATAACTATTTCGCCATTTAAAAACCCCTCGTCTGGTAAAAGTTGCTTCGTCGGTCAACATAGTGTCTGTAATTGCGATGTTTATTCAGAATACGTTGGCAAAACTGTAACCGTCGTGGAAGATCTGTTGGAAGTAAATTTTGAACAGAAGTGAAGTGATAAGGATGGAGGTTCTCTTTTTGAGAATTCTAACAATAGACGACTGACTTACTCCTGTTGCTGCTGATAGATGTCTTGAACTTATTTCAGAATATTCGTCTACTCGAACCAAAAGTTCATCTTCTTGATTAGGTGTGATTTGTTTCGGTCGACCACCCCGATTTTTAGTTTGAAATGACCCAGTTTCACTTAAATTACAATATAATCTTGCAAAAGTTTTGTGATTTGGTTGCCTTCTTTTTGCGTATAACATTCTATACCTTTTGGCTGCCGAGCGAACCGCGAAAATTTTCTTGTGCGTATAGGCAAATCATATCTCGCATTTCTTCATTAGTAAAATGATTGTGACGAGACATTTCAATTAAAAAAAGTAATGATTACTTTTAAAAAATGCAACATAACACTACACTGTCACATCAAAAATAATTTACTCTGAACAAATAACATTTACCAACAACAATTATCTGACAGTCCAAAGCATACTTTTCATAAATGAAATAATATTTGAAATCCTTTTTTAATACTCTAAGCAGTTCGATCGCGTTTTCATTGAAAACGGTTGAAATTATCATGTTTAAAACAAGAGTACAAATTTTACGTAAAAATGATATTTACGTCATATTTTCTAATAAAAATTACTAAAAAACTTCATCAGAAAAAGTTTAGACTCAATTTGATCATTAGGAATGATCCACGTGGCGCCCTCTATGACAAAACGTAAAATTGTAAATAAAATACTATATTTTGCCTAAGATTATGCCTCTGTGCCAATTTTGTTAGCAATTTATAAATATACAGGGAAACTATTAGCAAAAAACGAAAAACAAAAATTACCTTTAACACCCTGTATCTCCTTTCTCAGCAACATTTTATTAAGGCATATTTGGCCCAATAGCCATATTTTGGTCCAAATAACCTGTCCTTAGTCTATGTCCCAATAATTATCACTGACCCTGTATATGAAGGCTACACGGCAAAAACGATGAAAGTCAATTTTTATGGTAAAAGGTAAATATGGTAAAAGGTATAGTAAATATTGTACCAAAAAACTAGTTGTTAAAAGTATATTCGAATCGACTGGGCTGCTTGCCAGTATAGCTGTAAGTCTAAGAGTTATTCACAAACTAAATAATCTCATCCACGACAAAAACGCTGAAAGTCCATCTGAAACACTGCAAAAAAGTCTTTCTGCGCGGTCGCTATACGATACAATATATAAGATTGGTCATTAGTCTCCTACACGTGCAAGTATGCGGTTTAGAGTCTGTTTATAACCTTCTTTAAAGATGTAGTGGTATATTTTAAAATATTATGATGGAAAGAAAGACAGAGACTGTAAATTCTGACATCAGTGATGAAAGTACAGATGCGCAGAACTTAAACGTGGGATCTAAGAAGAGAAAAAGAAATAGTGGAAGGTTATGTGATGTTATGAAGAAATTGAGGTTAAGTTTATACAAAATAGGGCCAGATTGTAAGTGCTCCCGGTACAAATGCTTTAAAAGATTGAACTTTTGGAAACAAATACCATTATTAAGGAATTTAATAGAATGTAGAGCAGAGAAACAACTTAACTCAGATAATCAATGCAACTGGGCCAGACATATTGAAAGAAGAAGTAGAATACGCAATAAGAAACGCTAAAGATGGAAAAGCAAATGGACCTGATAAAATTCCTACAGAACTGTTGAAGCTTTTTAATAATAAATCCTTAACCATAATATTACATCTATTCAATACAATATACAGTACCGGTATAATACCTCACGAATGGTTGCTGTCTACGTTTGTCACCATACCGAAGAAAACTAAGACAATGCAATGTTCAGATCATCGAACAATCTCCTTGATGAACTTAAAATATTTCTTAGAATCATCGACAACCGAATCTATCAGAAGATAGATATCGATATTAACGATACACAGATGGGATTCAGAAAAGGATTAGGTACAACAGAAGCTCTCTTTTCCTTAAATGTTCTAACACAGAGATATCTAGATGTTAACCAAGATGTGCACGCCTGCTTTATAGACTTTAAAAAGGCCTTTGACATAGTACGCCACAATCATCTCAAAGAAATCCTGGAAGGTAAGAACATCGACACCAGAGACACGCAAATAATATTAAATCTGTACTGAAATCAGCGAGCTAATCTAAAGGTAGAAGACCAAACATTGGACGAAATAGAAATACGTAGAGGAGTACGACAGGGTTGTATATTGTCACCCGCTTTTGTTTAATATCTACAGCGAACAAATATGCCAAGAAGCTCTCTCACATGCAAACGAAGGGATAATAGTCAATGGAGAAGTTATCAATAACATTCGATATGCTGACGATACTGTGATAATGGCAAGAACAGTGGAAGATCTACAACATCTAGTTGAAAGTATGAATGAGATATGTAATAACTACGGCATAAGAATGAACGTCAAAAAAACCAAATATATGACCAATAAGAATCAATCAAATCAATAAGAATCAATCAAATCAATAAGAATCCAATACATGACACTAGTATTGCAATAAACGGTACCCAACTTGAAAAAGTAAGCGAATACAAATACTTGGGAACCCTCATTAATGTTAAATCAAAAATGATTTAACTACACCAGAAAATGACACGCAATTTCTTCAAGAACTAAGAAAGAAGGAAATAGAACATGAATTGCATTTTCGAAAGGCCGAAGTGTTCCATGGTATGATCGTAAAAAAAAAATCAACAAAAAGAAGTCTGAAAAGTAAAGAGTTCTAAATGGCAGCTAAGGGATCAAAGGAAGTTATTTTGATTTTGCCTAATTTTATGTTTTTGCAGTTAGACTCCAGTGTAAGGGATTTACTTATATTCTGCGATTATTGTGGAGCTCAAAATAACAACTATAACCTCTTTTAATTCATTGACTACGTAGTTATTTCCACAAGACGACTTGACAAAATTAAAATGATTTTTCCAAGTCATTAATACTTGGAGTGTGACAGGAATATAGGACTCATTAACCAGCGTATCAAAGCTGAAACTGTTAAAGATTGGTTGGACGAATTTAAAGAAGCACGCACAAAATCTAGCCCATTTAAAGTCATAGAAGTAGATCAGTCCCTAATTCGCCAATGGACTCAGCTTCTATTATCCAGTTTTAAAACAAATGCCCATTTGCTATCAAACCTATTTAAGAAATAGTTTGTAAAGCGATTCATCCTCAGTATATTTTATTTAGAACAACCTACAATGGGCCTTTCTAAACTTATGTGATTCGTACCAACACTTTTTGACCAACTGATGATATGACAGGAACCCAAGATAGATAGATCCAAGACAGGTAATAAATTTTTATTTATTCCCACTTTTATTCAATATTTTGTCTTTCAGATTTATTGCAATTAGTTTGGAAAAGTGGAAGGCCTTACAACACCTTAATCAGTTTTGTGGTAATGCTGCCAAACATTCTCTCGATAGCTTCGCTCACAAAAAGACAATTATTGCTATGTTTAGTAGTGGTAGTTACATAATTTTATTTTCGACTTGCATTCTTTTTGTTATTGCTTTAATGATAAACACCGTTTTTGTCATTTTTTTGTATGTTTTCGATCAAATCATCAAAAATTAATCAAAAATAATTTAAAAACATTTCTAAAAAAAATTTAAAAACAGTCTAAGAATTGGTCTAACTGGTAAGCAGGTTTTGTATGTTTTCAATAAAATTGATAGTGTGTAAAATAATTTATTAATTAAGCTGAGTATACTTTCGACAACAGCTGTTTAACGTCGCTGTATGTGGTAACCATGTTTTTTATTTTAAGTATTGGATGTGAATTATACATAATGTATAAGGTAGACCCAAGATCTGTGGCCTAGAGAGCCCGATCTTTGTTTTTTAATATGTTGTTTGTCCACAATTTTTCTTCTATGAAGTATTTATTACCTAATTGACGATAGCTCTGATGATGACATTTATTATGTCGAAAGTATACTCAGCTTAATTAATAAATTATTTTACACACTATCAATTTTATTGAAAACATACAAAACCTGTTTACCAGTTAGACCTATTTAGAAGTGTGTACAAGTCTTACAGTCTTTTTCAATTCAAGTCTAAGAATTGTTTTCACCGATAAATTGTGTACCCATTGAAAAACATATTCACTTAAAATTTATATTAGAACAGTTTAAAATTAGTTGTGACCTTCATCGTTTTTGTCGTATAGGCTTCATATGTAAAACATATGTACATATTTGCGTTAATAAGCGAAACAACTCAAACAAAAAGTCCGAAAATTTGATATATAATACCATATTGATAATATAATACCGACTATTTTACTAGACTATTTTTAACTGATAACACGTCATAGCAATGTCACGTTTCCTACTGACAAAACTCCTTCCTGTCCGTGATTTCTCAGCGACAAAATTATGACAGATCTGTCACGAAGGTGTCTGGTAATTTTATTGTTGTAAGCTTGACGAACGTCATTGAGGCGTAATCAATTTTGGACATATATAATGAATCCAAACGAAAAATCAATATTTGGATGCCAGTCAGGTGAAGAAATCAAAAAATTGGTTTCGGAAAATGTCCCGTTGAACACGCAGAGGTCCAGAAGCTCTATTTGGACCAAATTTTCAGAGTTAGTACGGGTGAGAAATTTTACGCTTGAAAGATGTACTACCATAACCTAACTAGCAAAAATTCTCGAGAATTAAGCCTTTAAGATGAAAAAGGCAATGGCGTCAAAAAGTCAATGTGAAATACTACAGCAAAAATGGTACAAGAAAAATATTTTACGGAGTGCGGTATAAAAATAGACATTTTTATAGATCTACTGTATGATCTTTCTACTGTAATATTTTATCATCAGTGGGTTTCAAAGGAGTATTGATGCGCAATATAAGGCGTTGCCTCCTGATAACACCTTTAGCCACTACTACTCATTTCCTATCCTCACCGCCAAGAAGTGTGACTTAATCACACGGGTGGACCCTGGCAAACCTGAGCAATCCTACCGGAGATTGGGTAACCGACCCAGTGGAAAGTAGGGTCAGGGCCGACGAGGAAGGGAGAAATGGTCCTGCGAATAGTGGGTTAGGCATAGGCTAACAACCCTATCCTAGAAAACACACATGTACGATGTCAAGAAAGAAAACCGGACTGATCAAACGACGATGACTGCGCGAGAAAAAGGTACATGATTTAAGAATCGCGACATGGAACATCCGATCCCTATATAGATCGGGAGCCCTCCAAAATCTGCTCGGTAAACTGAATAGATATGACATAGATATAACAGCTCTGCAGGAAATGAGATGGACCGGGATTGGCACCATTGACAAAAGACACCACATTATATTCTATAGTTACGACGCACTCGGTACTGGTTTCATTGTAAATAAGCACCTCGTAAAAGACTTTCGTGCTATGAACTCTAGAATGTGCATACTGAGACTAAGGGAACATTTTTTAATTATAGCATCTTAAATGTGCATGCCCCTGCAGAGGAAAAGAAAGACAATGTCAAAGAAAAAATACTATGAAGAACTAGAAGCTGCATACCATTCATGCCCAAAGAATACATCAAAATTATTTATGGTGATCTCAACGCAAAAATAGGAAAAGAGCAACCATATCAACCAACTATAGGTAAGCACAGCCTTCATGAGTATCCAATGACAATGGCATCAGACTAATAAATCTAGCAACTTCCCTTAACATGGTCATTGCCAGCACATGCTTCCAGCAAAAAAAATATTCATAAGGAAACGTGGAGACTCCAGATGGGGTTACAGTAAACTTGATCGATCATATTATTATTGAATCGGTATCACTACCTAGTAGAAAGTAGAATAAAAGCCAGAATCTCAAACATTAAAAAAGAAAAGGGATCCAAAATTGAAAAATATAAAATAAAAAACTTAGCAGACAACACCAAAAAGTCAAAATACAAAGAATATACAAGCAAGGCTAGAAAATAGACAAACCACGAGATATAATGGAAGCGTATACACATCATACAAGACGGCCAAAGAGACCTGGTCTACAAAAAGCTCAACAGCTGAAGGACAGTGGTTCGATAAAGAGTGTCGTAACATAACAGAGAGGAAAAGTAATGCATATCAACGACTACAACAACGACATAGAACACGAAAGGCAGAGAAGGAATATAGAATGCTAAGGAAAGAAGATAAGAAAATACATCGCAGAAAGAAAAGAGAACACATAGAAAAAGATCTCCAAGAAATGTAAGAACTAAATGAACCATCAGAAGCCAGAAAATTTTACCAAAAACTTAATAAAGTAGAAAAATTTAACTAAAGCAATGTGTGAAGACAAAGAAGGAGATATAGTAACTCAACAGTTATACACAAGCTGCAGATCTAACGAAAAGTTTGAAATAAACGAAGATCCACTATCTGATGGAATTATACTAGATCAAACGGATACCAGTTGATCTTCAGTAGCTGAAGAAGCAGTTATTAGACTGAAAAACAACAAGTCACCTGGATTAGACAACATTAGCGCAGAATTAATAAAGGAAGGCGAAGACTCCCTATTGAATGCGATTCACGAACTAATAGTGAATATATGAAATAATAAACAACTGCCACAAGACTGGAATACCGGAGTAATTATCTCACTACAAAAAAAAGGAGATCAGCTTCAATGTAAAAACTACCGGGCAATAACGCTACTAACTGTGGCATATAAAATATTATCAAATATTGGATATGACCGATTGAGACCATATACGGAACAAATAGTTTTGGAATATCAATGTGGTTTTTGCAAGAAGAAGTCCACAATAGATTAGATCTTCGTCTTGACGCAAATCTTAGAAAAGACTAGTGAATTTAATATAAACACACATCATCTTTTCATTGATTTTGAGAGTGCCTATGATAGCATCCATCGAGAATTTCTGATCCATGCACTGAAAGAGTTTAATATTCTAACTCAACTCATTGATGTGGTAAAAGAAACACTTAAAGTACAAAGCAAAATTCGAATTCAAAACGTACTAACAGATACAATCCATGTGAGAATGGGCCTACGACAGGGAGATGCCCTATCCTGTGTTCTATTCAACATCCTATTAATAACAAAAAGTGTACAAATATTGGCATTTGCAAATGATGTTGATATCATAGCTAGAAGCGAAAGAAAGATGGTAGAAGCATTTAATGCGATAGAAAGGGCGGCACAAAACAGTGGCCTAAACATTAATGAAATATAAACCAAATACATGAAGGCCAGCAAATCGACAGGCCAAGAAACCTACAGAATCTGACAATAGGAGACTATAACATCGAAAGCGTGAAAAGTTTCATATATCTAGGTTCACTAGTTGTCGCAGATAACAATGTCAGTGAAGAAGTTAAGAGAAGAATACATATCGCTAATAAAACATAGAATAGACTAATTAAATAATCATATAGAGATCTAACAACATCACAAGAAAAACCAAATGCAAAATATACAAAACCCTGATAAAACCGGTCCTTGTATATGGATCAGAGACATGGACACTGTCGAAAAGCGATGAGAACCTATTAGGTACGTTTGAACGAAAAATCTTTAGACACATATATAAGGGGGTAAAGGAAAATGACATATGGCGCAGAAGATATAACTTTGAACTATACACAGCATACAATGAACCCGAGATCATAACATCCATAAAGATCGGACGTCTGCGCTGGATGGGCCATGTTGAACGGATGCTGGAGACTGAAAACCAAAACATATAATAAGGCAAACACCAGTAGGGAGTAGGTCAAAAGGAAGACCCAAACTTAGATACATGGAACAAGTGGAACATGATCTGAAAACACTTAAGATTACCAACTAGAAAAACAAAGCAAAGAACAGAACAGAATGGCGGAAAATCCTAGAACAAACCAGGACCCAGAAGGGTTGTCGAGCTACTGATGATGATGATGTAGCATCATATTCTTTAGATTAAAATAAGATTCAGATTGTGGGTAGTCTATAAGTAGTTGTTATGTATTTCATTATTACTTACCAATTAAAATAACTGATATCTGATACCATTCTTTGTCTGCACTATTTTGTAGCTTCTCGGTCATCATGAACGATTTTTATTATTCATAATAATGATAAAGTATATTTTATATCTTATAACTCTATTTGATGTACTTAAAATTATTTGTTTAGAATGCGAATCTATTTATCATTTAAAATAATTTCACACAAAAGATAACAATTGTTTTATATAATGAACACATTATAAATATAATATATTTATTACACTCATCATAATTAATTAAACCGTTATTATGATATATAGTTGGTCATTAATAAATTGTAAGAAAATTTAATTAAAAGTAGGTTAGTATTAAATAACATTAATTTGGGTCAAGTTTAAGTATTATATAAACATTTTATATACATTGTATGGAACAATTTTAAATATTTTAGCAACAACTAATAAGATAACTATTTAATTTTTGTTATAGTGTGTGTACATAAGATAATATTTACGTTGTTGTCAGATCTTTCGTTTTTCCTATAATATAGGGAACTTTAGATTTTCCAAAGGTCTCTATATATTTAATAATTTTTTACATCCGTCTTCATCCCAAATTTGAGTCCTTTATTATCCGTTCTGGCATCAAACTTTACTTCATCGTTCCGTGGCTCTCTTATACTTACCTATTGCTTTTACTGGCATAAAATTCACAAGAATTTAGACCAACACTAAAGTGCAGTTTACCTCACAACTGAAAATATCTGCCAAAAGACTTTTACTAATGCCTTGAGGATCACTAGGGGTCGACTCCGAACTATAATGAACAATTTTAGAGGGTAAAGTAATCTTTCATGTGAAAAAATGGGAGGAGACAAACGAACGCATTTATATAAAGCGTGGTCAAATTTATACTGTGCAAAACACTTCCATTGAGTGGAAAAGCGAAGCAAAATACCTCGGTGTAATAATGGATAAAGGACTAACTTTTAATAAACACGTAGAAGCTACGATACAAAAAGCCAACATGGCAAGAGCCGCAATAAGAGGCCTAGCAGGAAGGAAAAGCAAACTTCGTATCAAAACCAAAATAAGACTAATAAACAGTATAGTCCTTCCTATACTGACCTACGCGTCACTTGCATGGGGACATATATGCAACACAACCAAAAAGAAAATACAGGCTCAACACAACAAAAGCCCAAGAGAAGCGGTAAACGTACCAAGATACGTAGTTGAAAGACTCCTTGAAGATAGTAGGTCAGGGCTTCCGAGGTCTCAGTCTCCCGAGTAGTGTCTGGGGGCTCGGGAGACTGAGACCTCGGAAGCCCTGAGGAAGGCATCAGAGAGGATGCCGAAAGCTTGGCAAAATGGACAACGACGCGGTTCAACCCGGAAGACTGGTGAGTTTGATATTAATTTTAGTAATAATATTAATCTTAGCTCTAGGTTTTATATATATATATATATATATATATATATATATATATATATATATCTCAAAAAGGAGTACGACCGTCTATCCAATATATAATAAGGATCACTCAGACGAGTGGTGGGTTCAAATATCGGTCAACTAGGTGGAGAAATAAAAGACAAAGTTGATACTACTTCATCTATTTTGAAGACGTTTCGCTATCGAATTCTGATAGCATCATCAGTTCATCTAAAAATTTTACATTATGAGTACCACACATTCATGAAGAAGATGTTAAATAGTTACCTTTAAAAATATATGTAGTTGTCAATGGTATTAAAAAGATAGTACAAAAACTCAAATAAATGGACATCATATGGTGATATTGTATAAACAATGAAATAACTAACAACATTTAGAGACTTAGTAAAAATTAGCAAAGCAACAGAACACGTGGTCTAATAAGCATATAATATTTTATATAATATTAACTAGTGAAAAAGAACTAAGAAAATCATTGATTCACTTCCAACTATGCAAAAAAAAATTTCACAAGTATCTACTATTGGGTCATTCATTTATGAGTTGCGACAGGGATTTCGCCCAAATTGAAAACCGAAAAAAGCAAGGGAAGTGTGAGGTACCTATGGATTTGGTAAAACTGATGAGAACAGCTGTAAAGAAAACATTATTTCTTGTTATATCAATGAACCGTGAGGACTTCTTAGATTTTTAAGTTGCTTCTGAAAGTTCAATCAGTACATCCAACCTTTAAATTTCAAAACTTGGAAATCAACAAAGGTTTTAAAGAGAACTGTTACAATAAAAACTATTGCAGAAATTACTCTTCCTAACTTGACCTACCAGAGTAGAACTTCTGAAGAAAAACGAAACAAAACTTGATGGCAATGGTTCCCTATTTGATAAAAGACAATATAAAATTTTAGACCTATTTAATCCCAATGCTCCTTAGAGGCTCCTTAGAGTATACATGTTTTGTGTTTTTTATTATTACTTACCCCAATATTTTATATTTTTTGTGATGACACTTAGATTTTGTAGGTGTTTCATTTCTTTACAATTACCTATTTTACAAAAAGTTCTCAAAATTATTTAATGCGCAAAAACATAATTCACTTGAATAAACCTATGTTTAGTTTTGAGAAAGTTATTTCTAATACATTCATTGTGGAAGAAAAGAATCAATTATTTCGAAATAATGATTTTGGCACTTACGACGTTATTATTTATTTTAAGTCTTCATAGCAGGTACGAAATAAATACAAAGTGTGATTATATATTATATTATAAAACTTACAGTATAAAAATTTAATATCACTACATGTTTTTTAAATGCTGTTGTATTTCTTCCAAAGTCTTTCCCTTTGTTTCTGGTACAATAAAATAGGTAATTATTAAAGAAATAAAATTAGAAACAGCAAAAAACATAAACGGCCCAGATAATCCAGTATATGCGTAAAGATAGTAAAAGGCACTATTGGTACAAATCTTTATTATGCCATAAGCTACCACTACCACTGAAATACCTTTGGATTTAATACTAGCTGAGAATAATTCTCCTTGCATTAACGCGGGAATAGGACCAACTCCAAAGGATGATACCAATAAAAATACAATAAGGCCTGCTAATGGAAACCAGTTTACAGGTTGCAGGTTTATATCTGGAAAAAATTTTTCTACAAGAAAGTATACAGCCACTAACAAAAACACAATTCCGGTACCAGCAAGAGACGTTAATAAAGACTTGCGTCTACCAAATTTATCTGAACTGTAAATTGCAGCAGAATATATAATGAAATTTAACCCGTGTAAATAATTGTTGAAGTTTCAGCACTAATGCCACTAACAACTTTCTGAAACACGAATTGCGTGTAGCTTCCAAAGACCCACAGCCCCGAAACTATTTGAGCAAATCGCAAAAACATCGCGATCATTAGAGCTTTTCTGTTTACGTCTATAACGAATAAATCTTTCCATGTTCCAGATTCTGAAAGTTGTCGGTTTAAGTCATCCTGCATGAGTTTAAACTCAACATCAATATCAGTTCTTTGTCGTAACTTTATTAATGACAATTTCGCTGCCGGAAGTTGATTTTTTGCTATGAAAAAGTAAGGTGATTCAGGAATAAACAGAGAGAGAATTAAAAATATTACTTCGCATGCAAGAAATATGTAAGAGGTTAACTTAACACTACAGTATATTCCAACCACGTTAATAACAAAAGTCCCAAATATTACTAAAATAAAGAAAGCATTTCCCCAAATTCCACGCACCTTTGGTGTAGCAACTTCTCCAAAATACATTGGATATGCACACATAATCAAAGCATCCCCTAATCCGACTAATAACCTTGCAAAATACAGCGCCCATAAATTAGTGAATAACGCTTTTGTTAACCAACTTATTATAAATGGTACAGATGTTAAAATAATGGCTTTTTTCCTTCCAATAATGTCAATAAATGGAGGAAAAAAAGGTGTGAGGATTATTAAACCAACTACGTTTAATATAGCAAATAGTGCCGCTTGATCTTCTCTTACATTGTAGTTTTCTGTGTCCTCAACTATTTTTACCATAAATGGGGATGTCCATCCTGTTAGTGCTCCGCTTGTAAATCCGTGGGATGCAGCTTAAATAAAAAAAAATATAAAAAAATAGATTTAGGTATATATTTGACGAGGTAAAATGCAAATAAGCTTAAGTCAGGGTACACCTATGGTACAAAGAATAACAGGTATGATACTCCCGAGAGAAAAATTGGAACGAGTTCGCGCATTACGTCACAATGAGAGTAATTTTAAATATTCCCCATAAGAACATTAGCAATCAGAACAGGATTAATAGAGTTTTTATTAAACTATTTCGGATTTATTGAAATATAAGTGTAATATATTAAAAAATAATAAATAAAACAGTGAAAAAAAAATAAATCTGTAAAATATATATGTGAGTTTTTCGCTTTTTAATCCTAGAAAGGTAATCTTCGTAAATTTTACGAGCTAGCATACGATTTACGATATTTGGCGCCAGTGTCGAGGATGAGAAAAAAGTCTAAACGTAAACAGAAGAAAATAATTGATCATTAATTATCTGCACTAAAATCGGAAAACAAATCTAACGCACGGTTTTCGGTTACATATATATATATATATATATATATATATTATATATATATATATATATATATATATATATATATATATATACATAGTAAATACCTAAAGATCTTTTCATTGCATCCATCTCTACTGCTTCTATTCGCTTTTTGTTCTTTTCACTAATTCTCCATGTTTCAGTGCCATAAAGAACATGGTCTCATATATATTAAATTTTCTTCCTTTCGTTATCTCTTTACTCCACAGTATACCATTGAGACATCCTAAGACTTTCGTTGCTTGAGTGATTCTTTTTTCTATTTCCCGTGTATCAGTTCCTGCATTGTCAAAGGCAACACCCAAGTAGTCATAGCTCTGACAGCAGGAAATATGTTGTCCGTTTTCAAGGTCTATGTTATCTGACTCGTTTCCAATACAAAGATATTTGGTTTTTGTTGTATTGACATTCATTCCCCAGTCATTATATTCTTCTATTAGTTTTCTAAGCATGTACTGCATGTCTTCCCTGTCGGTCGGTAGTACTACCTGGTCCTCAGCAAACTGGAGTGTATATATACATTCATTGCTAAGCTCTATACCCATCCTATGCACCTTTCTTTTCCATATTTCCAATGCTGCTGCACCATATATCTTGAATAAGGTTGGTGAGATACAGCATCCCTGTCGCAAGCCTTTTGTAACCAAAAATTCTTCCGTTAGATATTTTCCTGTTTTTATCTGTGCCTTTGAGTCTCTATATAGTTCTTGTACAGCATTTATCAATGTGTGGTTGATGTTAGATCTTTTCAACGTTGTCCACAATTTTGTTAAGGGGATGTTGTCATATGCTTTTTGCAGGTCTACAAAAGTAATATGAGTTTCTAGATTCTTAGCCGATCTTTTTTCTATTTGTTTAAGACAAAATACGTTATCGCTGCACGATCTTCCTGCATGGAACCTGCTTTGTTCTTCCTCTTCATTTTGCTTATATTCTTCCTCAATCATATTTCTCAAAATTCGTCCATACAGTCTGCTCAGGGTGCTGGTTACCGATATGCCTCTATAACTACTACAATTCCTTTTGTCCCCCTTTTTGTGTATTGAGGATATGTATGCCGTTCTCCATTGTTCTGGTACTGGGTGTCCATTTAAACACTGATTGATCACATAAGTTAAGTTTTCAAATAGTTTATGAGTTCCATTCTCAAGCATTTCAGCATAGATTCCCTCAGGTCCAGCGGATTTACCATTCTTTAGGGTCATTACAGCCTTCCTTACTGTTTCTGTCTACGCTCGAAATCTGTTTCTGGCTACGAAATCAGATTTCCGAAGTGGAAATTGAAACGTTAATAAACGTATTTTTATCTTTAATTGTGGCTTATTCCCAGTTAAATAGTAATTAATTTACAATGCCACAAGAAAATAGCTTTAGAACAATATATAGATTGTTTATCTTACTGTTTATATAATGATTGAGCTATTGTCTATATTATGAAGGTCTTACTATAGTAATTTTTTAGGTGAAATTATTCAAAGAATGATATTATACAGTTTGCCAAACTGTATGAGTAAAGTTTGGCAAACTGTATGAAAGAGTTCTGAAAGCCAGAATAGAAAAAGAAGCCACAGAGATCGAAGAACAAAGTGGATTCCGACCAGGGAGATCTTGTGTCGACAATGTATTTACTCTCAAACATCTAATAGAAAAGAGATTAGCAAGAGGACTAGAACTTCATGCCACTTTTATAGATCTCCGTAAAGCGTTTGACTCCGTACCACTGCAGAGACTATGGACAACATTGGAAAACGCAGGTATAAATGCAGTATATATAAATGCCGTGAAAAAGCTATATCAAGATAACCAAGCTTATATTAAGGTTGGAAACCAAATTTCCAAGGGTTTCACCCAAACAAAGGGTGTCAAACAGGGCTCTTGCCTCTCCCCAACCATATTTAAAATATATCTTGGTAATGCTTTAAAATATTGGATGAGAAAATGCAGCCCAATGGGCATATGGGTAAATGACACTCCTGTATACACAATCCTCTTCGCAGACGACCAGGTAGTTCTTGCCGAGGACCTACAAGATATGACGTACATGATAAACAAACTAATAGACGAATTCAAAAAATGGGGATTAGAGGTTAATACCGAAAAGACACAATACATGAATATAGGAGGCATCGGTCAAGACATGGAAACAGAAAGCGGATTAATTAAAAACGTTGATCAGTACGAATATCTCGGAGTTACACTAAGCGAAGACGGGAGAGACGACAAAGATATAACAAGAAAAATAGGGAAAGGAAAAAACATGATAAAAACACTACATCCGATCCTGTGGAATAAAACTTTAACTAAGAAAACAAAGAAAAATATATATCAGGCTATGATTCAGCCGGTGCTGACGTATGGGTCAGAAGTGTGGGTCTTTAACAAGAATATGTCACAAAAACTCCTCTCAACGGAAATGATGTACTGGAAAAGATGTTCCGGGTTAACTTTGTTTGACCACATAAGAAATGAAAACATAAGAGAGCGAATGAAAGTAAAGAACACAATAATGGATACGATAGCCGAAAAACAATTAAAATGGTATGGACACCTAAGACGGATGAACGAAGAAAGGATACCACGAAAGGTTTGGAACTGGAGACCTACACAGAGAAATAAAAGGGGAAGGCCAAAAAAGAAATGGATATCCAATATTCATATAGAAATGGAAAATAGAGGTCTTCAAGAAGGAGACTGGGCCGATAAGAAATTATGGCGATTGGGATGCGAGAAGCGACAAAATTAAAGTTGCAAACACTCGCTATATATATATATATATATATATATATATATATATATATATATATATATATATATATATATATATATATATATATATGATATTATACATTGGGTTGCAGACTATTCAAAGAATAATTTATGCATTGGGTTGCAGACCAAAACAAAACATTCTTGCTCAAATATCTGAAATAGATTCAGTTTTTGCTGAAAAACTAAATCAAGAAATTCGAAATGGTGTAGTTGTTCATGAACCTCACCGAGACATAAATGGAGAGGATTTTTGGAGACTAATAAAATTATTAAATTTTTATTTATACATTCATTCCCAATATATATTATGCACAGAATATTATTTTCCTCTAATATATAAATCGATCTCTGACTCTTTAAGTTGTTTTTGTAATAACTTGGACTTGGTGATATGCGAATAGTATTTAATGTGATATTTTTCTAGATGATATTTATAATAAATATAAAGTTTTTTAAATTGAAAGTTTAAAGTGTTTATAAATTTATAAATGTATGTTATTTATATCTAAATATCATAAGAAAAACGGCAACTATCTTTTAAATTTAGTGTATACTTGTTAAGAAGCATTTTCGTTTTGTTTTTATCACAGTAAAAGAACATTAATAAAGTAATGTTGTGTTTTAGTTTAATTGTATTGATATAGTTGGTTTTGTTCTTCCTGTTGTAGATCATCACAAGAAAACTGCAAAATTATGGTAAAATGTAACATAATAGATTGAATTTGTTGAATATCTCACAGAAATCCAGTATTTTTTAGTAAATTTTATATATTGATAAAAAATGGAACAAACTCACTGTCAAAATTAAACAAGAATTCAGCATTAAAGAAATTGCAAGTACACACTTATTTATACAAAGTATCTTTTTGCATTTTAGTGCTTCAAATAGAACCTAAAGATATTGATACATAATTTAAACAAATCTATGTAATGAGGTACTTGATTACCATGCATGAAAAGTGGGACCACACCTATATTTGAACCATAATTTTTTCTGTGATGGGAAACATGAAAAAGTGAATTCTAAAGCAGTGAACGGGAAGGAATATGTAGAACAGATTGGTTGAAGCAATTCAGGAGATTGGATTATTAAGCTTAAAAATAATGATCCAAGTCAAAGGTAATTCTTCTGGTAAGAAAAAATTAAATTAATCACACCAGAATAAGAATATGGTGTACGCAGTTTAAAAGACCAGTATTTCAGAAATCTTTGAACTATCTCTAACTTTTTGATATATGTATTTGCATAGCTTTGTTGCAAAGAAGATTTGAAGATCTATTTGCAAATTAAAAGACAAATTCCTGTGAAAAACCATACTTAGATCGGTAACATTATTAACTTTCTGGATCAAACTATTCTCTAAATTAAATACCATAGACTTACGAGATATATAATACTAGATCACCCGATATTTAAATATGTATAGGTACATGGAACCAAATGGGAAAAACGTCCTTTTTTATTGTAATAATTGTAATATATATTTGAAGTGAATTGAAAAAAATTATTATTCAAACATAAATAAACAAAGTTAGGTTAGAATTGGCGTGTAAGGTTGTCCGATATTGATTACTCGATTACCGCAAGGCCAAGATAATCAACAAAAAAAGAAGATGTATTTGGTGACTTTTCTAGTAACTTTCTTGGGTGTGAATCTGTCTTTTTGATTTACTCCTCCTGGTTAAAAAACAGAGTATAGTAACGATGAACAAATATTTAAACCAAAGAAACTCATTTCCAAGAAACACAAAAAAAACTAAAAAAATTACCTTAATTAACTGATTGTGATAAATTTAAAACTACCACTAATATACCTTTTCATTTTATGTGAAATTACAGTTATGGAACAAAAAAGAAAAATGAGGAATATCAATATTATGTTAGCTACAACTTTTATATAAATAGTTATTACTTACCGATTAGAATAACTAATATTTGAAACCATTCTTTTTCTTTAGATTTTTGTTGCTTGTCAGACATTATTAAATTTTGGTATTTGTTATTACGTATAGGTACTGCTTTCAGATTTTCTATGATAAGGTAATTTAATATTTACTTTACTTTATTTTAACAGCTTAAAATGCAATTACTTCTAGAATTAAAAATAATTACGCAGACAGACAAAAATCATATATAGTTAACAATTACAGCTAAGAGATTTAATTTATAATTAAAAGACGTAGTAATTGGTAAAACACTTTGTTATATTTCGTCCATAATAATCCCGAAAATCTAGAGTTACAGCAAAAAATAACTTAGTGCAATAAGCCGATGTGTATAATTTTTTTTTCCCTTATATGACACATCAACCACGCAGGGTTATTAGCGTGTAGATGTGTATAATTAAAATAATAAGTCAATGATAATGTTTGGCCGTAAAAGATTAAAATATTAAACAAGGAAAAACAAATAAACAAGGTTAAGTGATAATTAGCGAAGTATAAACAATTGAACCGGTAATTACATCAAATTATTGTTCGATTTTAAAGCGACGTTGCCAAATTGACAAGAATTTCTAAATAAAGAATAAAATTAATAAAGTATCGCAGGTAAATGGTAGGCATCGTTTTCTCTGAACCGTTGAGGTGAAAAACAGTGCTTGGCACCGAAAATGGACAGATGCTTGGAGAAGAAAACATGTCTGGACAGCGACGGAACAACGGATGATGGCACAAAAAGACGGACAAGAGATGAGGGTTCAGATAACGAAGAAGAAAGGTCAACGAAGAGTCGAAAACTCTACAAAATTCCACCCAAAACAACAGATAACCATGATAAAACAAAACTGGATAAATTAATAGATATATAAACAATCTGGTAAGCGACATTAAAGAAATAAAGAGAACCCAAAACAGAAGTATTGAAGCAATAGAAAGACTTATTGCTGATAACCAGACTTTAAGAGAAGAAAATAAAGATCTGAAAAAAGAAAATATGGAAAATAAAAAGGAGTTAAATGAAGTCAAGGAAACTATTGAATTCATGGAAAAACAAAGAAGAAAAAACAATGTAGTCATGAGTGAACTAGCAATCGAAACATACGAGAAAACCTGTGTGATTGAATTAGCAGAACATTAAGAGAAGGTAGAGGTTTTGAAAAATTAATCTAAACTAAGACATGTTGAAGAAGAAAAAGTATACATAAATGATGGTACTACGAATAAAGAGAGAGCAATTCAACAATCAGAAAACTTGCACAAGAAGAAAAGGAGAGAGGAAAGGATGTACGACTTGGTGGAAATAAAATATGGATCAACAAGGTCGGTGACATGTTATAAAATAGGTAGTAAAGACAAAGATAGATCCATAAATAATGACCAAGGACGTGAGCAACAAGAGACAAGAAAGGGTAAACCCATAGAAATGCAGTCAGCAACGAGCGAGAATATAAACAGTAACTATGTTAAACCTGCATTAAACAAGAAAGAGCTTAATGACACCAAAGGATGGACATTAGCAACATGGAATGTCAGAGTTCTCAACGGTAAAGAAGTCAAACTTGCTGAAGAATTTGAGAAAAATCAAATAGACTTGCTGGGTATAACAGAGACCAAAAAGAAGGGAAAAACATACAGTTTTTAGAAAACGGAGTGTCACTTGGTGAAAGGACAAAAGTCAAATAAAAAACACTTAAATAGTGGTGTGTACAAACTTCAATGTGGCGACTGCCCAAAAACTTACATTGGTCAAACTGGTAGAAACTTTAATAAACGAATAACAGAACATAAAAGGGCTTTCAATAATAGAAAAACAGATTCGACATAAGCACTTCACCTTCTAGATCATAATCATTCTTTTAATCACAAATTTAAAATACTTCACATTCAAAATAAAGGCATTAAGCTATCTTTGTTAGAATCTATGGAAATCAACAAATTAAAAAACACAGATATAATTCTAAATGACCAACTTGAGACAAACAGTTCTCCCCTCCTCAACCTATTTCATTAGAGACTATAAATTGTAAACGCATGCCAAAAATAGATCACTTGACAAAGGCAATCAGCCGAAACAGCTGTAGTGATAATAGTTAAAATAAATTTTGTGGAAGTTTGAAAACAAAGTTTTCAGTGTTTTATTGTTACTTGCTAAACTGTTCAATAAATGTCTGTGCGAAGCGATAACATCGACGCAGTGGAACAACGCGGAAACCATCTTACTTCATAAGAAGGGAGATATCAGCGACCTTAGAAACTGCCGCTCCATTAGCTTGTTGTCACAAGTATATAAGCTATTTACAAGAGTTATTACCAACAGGCTAGGAAGTAAGTTGGATTTCTATCAGCCAAGAGAGCAAGTAGGTTTTAGTGCAGGATATGGCACGAATGATCATTTACAAGTAATTAAGAACTTAATAGAAAAGAGTGTTGAATATAACAAGCCATTAGCCATGATATTTGTTGACTACGAAAAAGCTTTCGACACAATAAATCATCAAAAGATGTTAAAAGCCTTAACAGAGTGCCGTATAGATCATCGCTATATAAACATGATAAAATACATCAATCAAAATGGGACAGCAAGCGTGAAACTGGCAGATAAAAAGACCAACGTATTTAAAATAAAACGGGGAGTGCGACATGGAGACACAATTTCGCCAAAATTGTTTACAACATTATTAGAGCATATGTTTAAGAATGCAAATCCGAGTGAAAAAGGAATTAATGTCAATGGAGAAATGCTTAGTCATTTGAGGTTTGCTGACGATATTGTCCTTTTTGCTGACAGAATCGATAATGCAGTATCGCAACTGGAGAAACTATACCTAGCCTCCCTACATACTTACTTACTCCGTGGCGTTACAACCCTTCGTGGGTTTTAGCCGACTCGACAACATGCCTCCACTGTTTTCTATCTTGAGCAACCTCCATCCAATTCTCCACGCCCATAGTGCTTAGGTCTCCTGCTATATTATCTCGCCACCGGAGACGAGGGCGTCCGCGTGGTCTCCTTCCAGTTGGGACTTCCTCCCACACCAGTCTTACTGTTCGTTCGTCAGAATGTCTTCTGAGGTGTCCTGCCCATCGGAGTCTTCTGGACTTTATTTCTTTTATGATGTTGGCGTCTGGGTAAAGTTCTTCAAGCTCTTTATTAGTTCTTATCCTATATTGTCCTGATGCTTCATCCAGCACCGGACCAAAGATCTTCCTTAGGATTTTTCTTTCCCAAACACGTAGTCTCTCTTCATTTGCCTTTGTCATCGTCCACGTTTCGCTTCCATACATCACAACGGGTCGTATGATTGTTTTATAGACCTGTATCTTCGTACCTCGTGTTAGTTGTTTTGATTTTATAAGGTTTTGGAGGGCAAAAATACATCTGTTGCCGGCCTGAATCCTGTTGTTTATTTCTTGTGATCCGTTATTGTCTTCAGTTATTGTTGTTCCAAGATACTTGAATTCTCTAACGCGCTCAAAGTTAAAGTCATCGATGGTAATGTTCTGACCGATTCTGTCTCTGCTTTGGTTATTGCGGCTCATATACATATATTTCGTCTTATTTTCGTTGATTTGGAGCCCCATCTTCTCTGCTTCCTTCTCAAACCTTACGAAAGTCTCCTTCATCTTTAATCGCGTGTTTCCTATTAGATCTATATCGTCTGCAAATGCCAGTAGTAAGTTTGGTCCTTCTCGATGAAATACTGTATTCGGTTTTTCGATTCTTGCACTTCTGATTATGTGCTCCAGAGCTAAGTTGAAGAGTTGTGGTGAAAGTGCATCTCCCTGTTTTAGTCCATTGTTTATTTCAAATGTCTCCGAGTATTGTTGTCCAACTCTCACCTTACATCGTAACCGTTCCATACACATCCGTATCAACCGGACTAGTTTTTTTGGAAAGCCAAGTTCCTGCATCGCTGTCCACAGTCTGTCCCTACATACTCTATCAAATGCTTGTTTAAAATCTCCCTACAAGTTGGATTAAAAATCAACCACACAAAAACACAAATCATGACAAATCTTGTGTTAAGCGAAAAGATTTCAGTAAATGGCATGCATATTGAAGAAACCACCTCTTATAAGTACTTAGGACATGAGATACGCATAGGAAGAGATAATCAAACGTGCGAACTAAGCCGCCGCATAGGACTCACTTGGGTGGCATTCGGCAAGCTGAGCTATGTTCTTAAATCAGAACTGTCTATATGTCTTAAAAGAAAAGTCTTTAATCAGTGCGTGTTGCCAGTACTTACATATGGTGCAGAGACATTAACACTAACCAAGAAAGTAAGAAATAAAATTTGTGTTACCCAAAGAGCCATGGAACGATCGATGTTAGGCATTTCTCGTAGGGATCGGATCACGAACAAGGAAATAAGACGGAGAACAGGAGTGACAGATGCCATAGAAAGAATTATGACCCTTAAGTGGAACTGGGCGGGGCACATAGCTAGAATGTCGGATAACAGATGGACACAGCGAATAAAACAGTGGAGACCGAGACAAGAAGCACATTGAACTAGAGGTCGTCCACCAACAAGATGGTCTGATGACATAAAACGGATCGACAAAAATTGGATGCAAACAGCACAAAACAGAAATACATGGAAAAGACTGAGGGAGACCTATATCCAGCAGTGAATAGATCCGGGTTAAATGATGAACTTTTTTCGTAAAATTAATCTTGATGAAAATGATTTTAAAACTGAGATGTGCATAGATTTGAATTTAAGTGATTTTTGTTTGCAGATCTCTTTAAACATTTTACATACAAGAACTTTTCTACTTTTCATACACTCGGCATGTGAATTTTAGTGTGTAAGTAGAGTAGTTTATATTCTGTGAGAGTTTTTTGAATAAATTTCCATAAAAAGTATCCAAAAAAGTTTTTATTGTATTTAAGAAACGGTTTTTACAATTTGGTCTTGCTTAGACCAAAAAACTGATTTAATTTTAAATATTTTTGTGATATAGTTTGTCCATCAAAATCGTTGTAAATGAAACTTAATACAGGATGTTTCAAAAAGATATGCCATAAACTAAATCACGCATTCCGGGGACAAAAATAAATTGATTGAATCCAACTTACCTTATTACAAAACAAGTTACAGCCCTTTGAAGTTACAGAATATTTTTTTGCATTACCTCCTAAACTACTTGACATTTTGTAATAAAAATGAACACGTTACTTTCTTGTTCTCAAAGAATGTTTCATAAAAAGAAACAACAAAAACTAAGCGCACAGAAAAATTTTAAAGGGGGTGTGCAGTCCTAAATCCCCTCAAACTTTTATTAAATCCCCCCATTATTTTTAAAACTTTTTATCGCTTTTTCGAAAAACTAGTTTTTTTCCTAGTTGGCCATAAAATTACAATTAATATCTACGGATACAGTAATTACAAACTGTTCCATCAATAATAGTCAATAATTTGAAGCTATCATTTATTGTGTAAATAAGATTAATATTAAAAATTTTAATATTACAATGGCCTTCACTTTTCAGGAAATGGCAGATATGCATTTAACTTTGGGTAAGTTGGATCAGATTAAATAATGATTTCAATAAACTATTGCGGATATCTTGGTAAATGTCAAGGAATTAGTGTAGCAGCCGCAAGGCGTTATGCAGTAAAATACCCCAATCGAATTACGCCCGATAGACGATTATTTCTGACCAATGATCGTCGTTTACGGGAAACGAGTACATTCTAACCGCAAGTTTCTGGCAATAGTGGTCCTCCAATAATATATGTTACTGATGAAGACATTTTAGAAATCATTGAAGAAGTCCCTGGAACAAGTACAAGCTTCTCAACTGCTGCTCAACTAAATGTTCCTCACGTAAGGGTTTGGAGGTGTTTGGAGGATCAGCTGCTTAAACCCCATCACTTAACAACAGTTCAAGAGTTATTGGTTGAAGATTATCCTAAAAGGATTGGATTTTGCGATTGGTTGTTAATGGAAAACACTCGAAATGTTAATTTTATTAGAAATATTTTGTTTACCGACTAGGCTACCTTCAGTAGAAATGTAATACCAAACCATCATAACGAGCACATTTGGGCCGACGAAAATCCTCACGCCAAAAAAACGACTCGTCACCAAAGGACTTTCAAAGTTCATGTTTGTAGTATTACTTTCCAACAATTTATATGGTGACAATTATTTGTAGTTCTTGGCAAAGAATTTACAAAAGTATTTGAAAGAAATGAATATTGTAATAAGGCAAAATATGTGGTTTCTACAAGATGGCGCTGCACCGCATTACAGTAATACCTTTGCAGGTCCGGGAATACCTTTGCAGGCAGTATTCTAGTCGGTGGATTGAAAGGAGTCGTGACGCACCTATTTCTTGGCGACCCAGAAGTCCTTACCCCATGGATTTTTTCTTTTGGGGGATTATGAAAGAGAAAGTGTATTCTGTAACAATATATATATATATATATATATATATATATATATATATACAAACAACACAGTTTATTAGGGTTGCAGTCAGAAATATTGGCCGGGATGTTAAAAAAAACACTCTTTTGACTTTTTGTCGAGCTTTCGGAATGGTTTTATTCCTTTTTCAAGACACTGCAAAAGACAATTATGTAAATATTTAAAAAATATCACAATTCTTCAGTGTAACTTACTAGTCGTTGAGATTATTTTTGAACGCATTGAACACTCAACATTTATACTAAAATATACAACACAAAATATACCACACACATTAAAATATACAATTGTGGACAAAATACATCATAAAATCTTTAAAAATATTTGTTGGAAAAATAGTAAAGCCCGATTGATGGCATGTTTTACTGGTGTATATCAACTCATACAGAGAATGGAAAGAAAAAACAGTGTAATTAATATGTAATTAGGTGTAAATTGGTGTTATCTTTCTTTACAAGAAATATTAGATTCCTTTCTTAGGTGTCTATACTTTTATTTTTTTTACTATTTTTCCAACAAATATTTTTAAAGATTTTATGATGTATTTTGTCCACAATTGTATATTTTAATGTGTGTGGTATATTTTGTGTTGTATATTTTAGTATAAATGTTGAGTGTTCAATGCTTTCAAAAATAATCTCAACGACTAGTAAGTTACACTGAAGAATTGTGATATTTTTTAAATATTTACATAATTGTCTTTTGCAGTGTCTTGAAAAAGGAATAAAACCATTCCGAAAGCTCGACAAAAAGTCAAAAGAGTGTTTTTTTAACATCCCGGCCAATATTTCTGACTGCAACCCTAATAAACTGTGTTGTTTGTTTATATCGACAGTCAATAATATCCAGTATTTCTTATATATATATATATATATATATATATATATATATATATATATATATATATATATATATAAGGTTCTTGAACTCCTAAGTGGAGCATAGAGCTTCAGTGAAAACGCGCCATCAAGTTCTATTTTGCGCTAAGGTCCTTACTTCATTCCAAGACTTTCCTTGGCCTTTTATCTCGTCCACGATGGATCTTTTTCAAGTTTGTACTGGGCGACCCCTTTTTCTTTTCCCTTGGGGATTCCACTCTAGGGCAGTCTTTGCGATACTGGAACTATTTTTTCGGAGTGTGTGATCGATCCAACCTCACTTTCTGGGCTTAATTTCATTTTGTTTCATTTCATTTACATTTCCGTAATAATAGGGAACGAAAAACAATTGAAGGTTAAAATAATTGAAACTGCAAATCAATTTCGTCAGAAAAATAGGATTTTTTAGCGCATTCGGTTAACCTTATTAAAACGATACCGAATGTGTATTGAAGAAAATGGGTAATTTTGAACATTTATTGTAATATATTTATAGTTATAGACATTTTTTGTACTTTTTAATTCGTTTAAACTCCTCTCATTACATGTCCGAAATACTCCAACTTTCTCTGCTTGATACTTTTTATGATCTCAATAATTTTGCTGAGACGTTCTAGTACTGTGAAGTTTTGAATCTTTTCGACCCAGGAAACTTTTAAAATTCTTTTATAGCACCACATTTTGAAAGCCTCAAGGCGATTTAGATCGATTTTGTTCACAGTCCAGAACTCGACACCATAAAGTAAGACCGAGAACACGTAGCAGCGAAGTAGGCGGATCCTCAATGCCAATTTTAGGTCTCTTTTACATAACACCTTGGACATCCTTCTAAAAGCAGCTCTAGCCTTCTTCTTCTTCTTCAGATGCAAATCCACTAATGGATGTTAGCGATCACATTTTCCATTAATTTTCTATTTCTTGCAATATGTATCAGAGATTGTATTAGGATTGATTGTATTTCGCTGTGACTTTCTGCGTTACAATTTAATTACTGTTCAAGTTAAACGATTTTATCAACTTGCTCAAGTTTGGTATTATTTACATATATGGACGGTTTTATATGCTGTTGTTTACTTATTATGAGTATTTTGGTTTTCCGTATGTTTAGATTTAAGCCAGGTTTATAAACGGACATAGTACATAATCATAAGTCATAAACATAACTTTAACCACAATCATAATTCACAAGATTTAAGATTGGTTTATAACTAGACATAATACCTAACCATAATATTTAAAAACTACTTTAGAAAATACAAATCTAACCAAATTTTTATAGATCTTGAAGAATTTTTTCTGGTCTTTAGATTCATAGAAAAGTGAAATAAAATGACAAAGGGAACAAATATTTGATTTCACGCAAACAAATCCTATGTATCTCTTGATACGTATTTCGACCTAATAGGTCTCGTCAGAAGAGCTATTCATAGGGGTTCTCAACGTGAAAAATCAATATTTTCTGCCTTTTAAGAAGCAACAATATTGATATAGGCAGAAAATATTGTTTCAAAAAAGATTTTTCACGTTGAGAACCCCTATGAATAGCTCTTCTGACGAGACCTATTAGGTCGAAATACGTATCAAGAGATACATAGGATTTGTTTGCGTGAAATCAAATATTTGCTGCCTTTTCTCATTTTATTCGGATTTACTCTGTAGGAGTACTAGAAACACAATTCGCTAAGGATTTCTGCTTAGTTGTAAAAGACATGTCGTGGAATGCAAATTTTAGATTCCCCATGTCTCTTTAACATCTTTTATCAACGTCTGTTTGCCTTGCAATTCTTAGAAGGCTCAGATTATGAAGCAGAAATCTGAATTGTGTTTTAAAACTGTTTTACGATTGTTTAGTTAGATATCGCTAGTGCGTCCGTATTGAAGTCATGTTATTGTTGCTTCTTAAAAGGCAGAAAATATTGATTTTTCACGTTGAGAACCCCTATGAATAGCTCTTCTGACGAGACCTATTAGGTCGAAATACGTATCAAGAGATACATAGGATTTGTTTGCGTGAAATCAAATATTTGCTGCCTTTTCTCATTTTATTCGGATTTACTCTGTGGGAGTACTAGAAACACAATTCGCTAAGGATTTCTGCTTAGTTGTAAAAGACATGTCGTGGAATGCAAATTTTAGATTCCCCATGTCTCTTTTAACATCTTTTATCAACGTCTGTTTGCCTTGCAATTCTTAGAAGGCTCAGATTATAAAGCAGAAATCTGAATTGTATTTCGAAACTGTTTTACAAAAGTGAAATAGTTTTAAATAAATATGAAGATTAATAGAAAAGTTGCTTTGGCCATGGCAGCAGTCCCACTTTATTATCTGCCAGAGTTCTTAACAAGCAAAGAAGAGTAAGAAGGTATAGTGTAAGACCCATAAATAGAAAGCGTGATAAGGAATGGGATAAGGAACAGTTATTTAATTTTTTACGTTGGATTACACATGCGCATATTCCAACAATTCCATAATGTTTAATACTTAATTCATAAATGTTGAAAGTTACCAACTTTGAAGGTCACGTTTTAAGGACTAAATTTATGTTTTATGTATTATGAAAGCTTTTAAATGGGTACATTTATTTATTAACTTTCAACATTATGATTATATAATAAGATTATGGTTAAAGACTAAAATTATGTTTATGTCCGTTTATAAATCCGGCTTTAGACCTGCCTCCCTACAACTCTCAATGACACTATTAAGTAATGTTTGCAGATCTTCTTGCCTAGAAGCTAGGAGTACTGTATCGTCCACATATCGCAAATTATTGATGACTTCACTGTTCACAAATATGCCTTCTTGTTTTTCAGAAAGTGTTTTCTGAAAATTCTTTCGGAGTCAACGTTGAAAAGCAGCGCTGACAAGAGGCATCCCTGCCGTACTCCCCTTTTAATATTGAGAGTCTGTGATTACACATCATCTACTAAAACTGATGTTTGATTCCAATATAAATTTGCAATTGTTCGAACATCTCTGCCGTCCAAACCCATTTCTTTTAGATCTTCGATCAATATAGAGTGCCTAACACGATCAAATGCCTTTTGGAAGTCAATAAAACAACATTATAGTCTACAGATATATCTCTACATCTTTGAGTAAGTACGTTCATTCCAAACAGTGCCTCTTTCGTTCCAAACCTGTTACGAAAATCGAGTGTCATTAAGGTATTCCTCGAATTTATTGTAGATACGACCATGTATTACCTTTAGAAAAATTTTCAATAAGTGGATTAACAAATTGACAGTTCTATAATCAGCACAGGTTTTTGGTGTTGTCTTCTTAGGTGGAGCTATAAACAATGAATTAGACCAACCATTAGGTAGTTGTCCACTGGTATAAATGGTATTGAAAAACGGTATGAAAAATGGTATTGAAATTATAGCCTTCAAAACATTGCTAGCATTGCAGTATTACCTAAAGAACGTTTATTAAACCGTTGTGTGGATAATTGATCAAACACGTATTGCAGACTTGCACTATTATATCGGGCGATTCTGTATGAGCGAAAATAATCCTCCACAAGAAACACTTTCTCCTCTGTCCTTAACACCATTTTTAACAATTAGGCTTTATTAATTAATTAATTAACGATTACTTTACAGGTCTATACTATCGTTCAATTTAAGTACTGTTTATTTTTGACAATAGTGTATTATTTTAAGCCAATCTCATGCCAACCTTACAGTTATCAAAATATTATAACTCGCATTAAAGAGATTTTTATTCATTGTTCGCATTAAAACATGTTTCAATATTTTCTCTTCTTTTTAATATAAAAAAACGATCATTTTATTTAATTTTTATTTTTTAACATTTGTTGTATTTCTTCTAAGGTTTTACCCTTAGTCTCAGGAACAATCCAAAAAGACAATAAAGAAGCCAGGAAATTGAAGGACGCAAATAACAGAAATGGACCGCATAATCCTGTGTAGACAAAAAGATAATAAAATACATTATTAACTGTAATACCAGTTATTCCAAAGCTTGATGTAACAATAGCAACGGCTTTTGTCTTGACACTAGCTGAAAAAAGTTCGCCTAACATTAAAGGAGGAACTGTGCCTAATCCAAATGAACAAAATAGTAGGTATAGTACCAAACCAAGTAATGGGAACCATTGTATTGACGTTAGATTAACGTCTGTATAATAATCGCTTACTAAAAAGAATACAGCTTCCAAAGTTAGCACTATAGCTGCCAAGAATGTGGAAAGCATGAAAGCTTTTCTTCTGCCCAATTTGTTTGATAATAAAGAGGAGCATGTATGGCTAATACAACTTACTGCAGCATAAATTATAGCAGATATTTTAGGATCAACGTTGGTTCCAGATTTAATAAATATAAATTGTGTGTATGCCGCAAATGTCATCATACCACCCCAAAGTTGAGAATTTCTTAAGAAAAATGCTGCAAATAAAGCTTTCCTATTTGTTTTTATGACAAATAAATCTTTCCAGGATCCAGATTCAGATAGCTGACGATGAACTGCTGCCTCAATGGCTTTAAACTCCTCTTCAATGTCTGTTTTTTGCCTAAGCCTTTTGAGGTGTTGTTTTGCTTCTTCATGTCGACCTTTAGCTATGCAAAAATACGGAGAGTCTGGCATAAACGGAAATATCACCAGAAGCAAAAGCGGAATGACTACAGCAATTAACGAAGTTGTTTTCACACTAAGGTAAGCACCCAAAATATTAATTAAGCACTGACCAGTGAATAGAGAGCAAATGAAAGCGTTGCCCCAAAGACCTCTCACTTTGGGGTTGCTATTTCTCCAATGTATACAGGTAGACAAGATAATGTTAGTGCATCAGCACAACCAACCAATAACCTTGCACTATATAATCCATACAAGTTGGTAACAAATGCTTTGATTAACCAAACTGCTATATACGGTATCGATGCTAAAATGATGGCTTTTTTTGTTCCAATGCGATTTACGAGAGGTATAAATATGGGTGTAAGAAACACTACTCCTACAATACTAAAAACTGTAAAGAATGAGGCTTGTTGTTCGGTTATATTGTAGTTAACTTTATCTTCGACTATTTTCAGTAAGAATGGTGATGGCCAGGCAACAAGCATTCCACATGTTAATCCCCCAAGTGATCCTAAAAATAATAAAAACGTATAAATATATATGAACAGTAAAACAAGATTTTTTTACCAAATACCAAAAAATAAAATTTGTATGATTTATTAATGTTTTGTATTTTGAAAACGATTTCCGAAAAACGAATCAAAATATCCAATAAACTTAATTTATAAGCCCCATTGTGGCTTATTCCAAAATAAAATAGTAAATTGCAATAAGATGCCATAAGAGTCTAGCTTCAGAATAATATTTTTGTTCCACTTACACTATATCAACAAATAATTACTATTTAAATGGGAATAAACCACAATAAGGAAAAAATAGAAAAAATAAAAATAAAAAACTTCACAAGAAAATAGCTTTAGAACAATATTTCTACACACACCATAATGGACCGTGATCTACAGCCATAAAATAGTATGATTTGCGATGATAGTTTAAAGCAAACGAAAAGAAAGCATGATAAAGTAAGTGCAAAATTAAACTCCAGCGCAAATATTTGAAATGCTATTTACAGATGAGTGCAGTTCTGATGAGCAAGTAAGAATCACGGTGCTTATTAGTTTCCGATCAAAACTAAAATTTCAGTAGTATAAAGAAACGTACAATAATGTATTAATTCGTAGATGCTGGGTGTTTGATCGTAAGCTTCATCAGCTGCTTATAGATTTTGAACAGGCATTTGATAGAGCATACAGGGTTAGATTGTGAACAGCGATGCAAGAACTTGGCTTTCCAAAAAAACTAGTCAACTTGATACGAATGTGTATGGAAGGGTTTTAATGTATTGATGTAATGTGACAGTTAGCCAACTATACTCAAAGATGCTTTCAATATAACTCTTCACTACTCCGCTCGATGAATCTTCTTAAGGTGCCCTCTTCATTACTGAAGGTTGGCTATACCTACAGCAAATTGCTATTTTGAGCTATTCTTAGTATGGAATGTGTGTCCATGCCTGTGCAGTCTCTTACATTTTTTAGGCAGTAGCATTTTCTTCTTCCTGGATCCCTTCTTCCTTCCATTTTCCATTCCATTATCAGTCATAGGAAGTTATATTTTTCTCCTCTATAAATATATGGTTTTTACAATATTTAGGAGTTCTCTCTCGGTCCCCATTCTTCTCAGCACCTCGTTGTTGGTCACGTATTCTGTCCAAGAGATCTTCAAAAAACCTGCATGCTTCGAAAAACCCACATCTTAAAGGCTTCTATAACATATTATTTTTACTTAAAAATATCAAAACTATTGGAAAGTCTAAAACTCCACTAAGCTCGTTAGAGCACACAAATGTTATCTATCAGATACCCTGTTCTGAATGTAACTCCTGCTACATTCGCCAGACCAGTTGGTCGCTTCTAGGGCATATAAATCTACATAAAAGTGACATTAGACTTTTCAAACCCTCTTGTGCCCTTGCACAACACGCCATTTCTAATAAACGTCACATTGACTTCACAAATATCAAAATACTGGCGAAACAAAATATCCATCAGAAACACTGCTTTACTGAAATGTGTGAGATCCTCAAGAACCCATTGTCAATAAACAAAAGAACCGAGATCGACAATTTGAGCCAGGTTAACCACTCTTTTATCTTTTGAGATAAATAATACCAATTATTTCTTAAGTTAAAATGTGGCTTCCATTTAAAATAATAACACAATCACCCCATATTTCCAGGGTTAAAAAAATATCAAATATTTCCGCCATACAAATCTACCCGTCCAACTAATTATTCAACGACCCTCGTAGAAGTTAATAATTGTGTCTGAAACCTTCACAGGGATTGGAATTTGGTTGACATATGGCCCTTAAATTTTCGGTATCGCGTCACGTCGTTTGCATAGATTGCAATGGATTGCATTGCAATGAATCAGTGCTTTGTTTGTCTTCATTTAGGAAAAATCTCTAAATGAAGCCAAATGTTCGTTTGAAATTTCTAAATCTTCGTATCTTCGAATATGAACAATATTAACTGCAGAGTTTGTGTGTTTTTTGCTTTTTTTATTAAGTTAGTTTTAAATGTTGAGTAAATTTTACTGTACATACTGTACATATAAAATCGATAATATACTTACTACATCTTGAGTTGTAAGTTATGAAATATTAACACCTGTTGTATTTTACAGAACTGATGAAGCTTTAGAAGCTAGAAGCTAGAAGCTATAAGCTATTTATATATATATATATATTATAAAGTGTGATTTTCAATAGTATTGTATATAGTGTAGTTAGTCACAAAATTAGTTACTTACCAAGGAGTATAACGAATATTTGAAACAACTCTTTTTGCTTATTTTCTTTATCCTTTAGGCTAGAAATGACAGATTTTGACTTCATAATATAAATACTTAAAATCTACTGGAGACTAAGTTAATATCTGATATCCCAATTTATCATTTAAATATTATATACGGCAGTGAGTATTTCGTTATTTTGGCACATATTATTTTGTTTTACTGATATTCAAACTAACATCATTTACAATATTTTCTTATCTTTATAATTAGAATTTCATAGATTTAATTGTTTAGTTTATTGTATTACACACGATATGAAATTCGTTTTTTAATTACATTAGCTTAGTCTATAAGCTGCTTTAATAAAACATTAGTGTGTTGTTCCAATGATGAAAAATATATTAACTTTTACGAAATATACACCGTGTCCCAAGAGGTTTTATATTTTGAAGGAAATGCTTAGCATTTAAGAAAGAAAACATATATTATATAATAAATATAAAACTTTTAAATAATTTACTCGAATGTAAATGTCAAGATGCGCATTGAAACCGTTGCGAGAGAGTATAGGAGACAAATGGACGAGGAAATGGAGAGCCTGGAGGTGGGGGAAAATGTAGAGGAACTGTGGACAAAATGTAAAAACATAATAACTGAGAAAGCAACAAAAATATTGGGGAAAACCAAACCAGTTAAAGAAAACGAATGGTTTGACAAGGAGTGCCAAGAAGCAACAGATAACAAAAACAGGGCATACCTAAAGACAAATCAAGCTGGATGCACAAGAAGAGCAAAGGAAGAATACCGGACCCTAAGAAGAGAAGAAAAACAATTACATAGAAGAAAAAAAAGACAATTTGAGTAAAAGCAGTTGGAAAGCACAGAATGGCTAAGAAATCAAAATGAAACTCGAAAGTTCTACAGAAATCTAAACAAAATGCGCAAAGAGTTTAAGACAAGAATAAGGAGCTGTAAGGATGTAAAAGGAAACATCCTAAACGATACGGCCTCAATCCTAAACAGATGGGTTGAATTTTTCGATGCAAAATTTAATGACCATCATATCAAAGAAGCAGATAAGACCCTGGCAAATCGAAATGATTGGAATCCTTTCAACCCAAACGAAAGACCACCTACCATCGAAAACGTTGCCCAAGCCATTAAAAAGCTTAAAAATAATAAATCACCAGGAGTTGATTAAATTTGCAGTGAGCTCTACAAGAATGGTGGCGATGCCCTACTACAGACACTGCATAAGCTTTTACTTCTTGTTTGGCATAATGAAACCATGCCTTGTGAATGGTCTCAAGGCGTGATATGCCCGTTACATAAAAAAGGTGACCAGCTCCAGTGTGACAACTATAGAGGTATAATCCTGTTAACAACTGCTTACAAAATACTTGCAAATATTGTCTACGAAAGGCTGCAAGTTTACACAGTGGGCATAGTTAGTAAATATTAAGCTGGATTCACTCCAGAAAAATCAACAATTGACCAGATTCATTCAATAAGATAGATTCTCGAGAAAACATTAGAATTCAATATTGAAACCCATCACCTATTCGTCAACTTGAAGGCAGCATACGACAGTGTCAAGAGAACAGTGCTATACCAATCAATGTATGAGTTTGGTATACCAGAGAAACTTATCCGACCAACGAGAATGACAATGTCTAACTTAGAAGCCACTGTAAGAATACAGGGAGAGAGTTCTAGATCCGTTGAGAAAAAGGATGGACTCAGACAAGGGGTTGCTCTGGCTTGCCTCCTATTTAATATTGCCTTAGAAAAGGCAGTCCGAGATACACGAATTAGGGATGGTGGTACTATTTACAATAGATCGATACAAGTCTTAGCATATGCTGACGACATTGACATAGTAGGGCGTAGCAAGCGAGATGTTGAGCAATATCTCCTAGAATTGGAAACAGCAGCGAAACAGGTCGGTCTAGTCATCAACGAAGACAAAAACCAAGTACATGTTGGTTACAAAGGATCCGATAGCAAATGAGGAACAAGAAACACTCTTTGGAAGTCATACCTTTGGACGTGTTAACAACTTCACATACCTTGGGTCGCTATTGACTGCTACCAATAAAACAAGCGAAGAAATCAAAAGACGAATAAATCTTACAAATAGGGCATACTATGGACTCCAAAAGCATTTCCGCTCAAGAAACATTCAAAGAAGAACTAAAATTATTATATACATAACATTGCTGAGGCCGGTCCTCACATATGGAGCAGAAATATGGACTCTAACGCAGAAAGATGAAAGACTTTTGGGAATATTTGAGCGTAAAATACTCCATAAAATATTTGGAGCAGTAAACGACCAAGGGCAGTGGCGCAGAAGATATAATTCTGAATTGTATCAGCTCTTTGATGAGCCAGATGTCATAACGTTCATTAAAACACAGCGACTTAGATGGGCTGGACACATAATACGAATGCCAGAAAATACGATTGCTAAAAAGCTAACCACAGGAACACCTGTATAAAAAAGAAGCAAAAGCCGACCGCGAATTAGGTGGTTAGATGGAGTTGAAACCGACTTACGAATATTAAAAATCAGAAGATGGCAGCATGTTGCCAAAAACCGAACAGAATGGCGACGAATCTTAGAGCAGGCCAAGATCCACAGAGGATTGTCGAGCCAAAGATGATGATGTAAATGCCAAGAATTCGTGTTAATTTCAGATTAAAACAGATTACAGGACTCATTCAGATTAAAAGTGATGCATAATGCGTTATCTATCCCGCCTCAATTAATAGGATAAATGAATAAAAAGCCTTACATATTCCGGTACCAACTTAAACCAATCGGACGACTCTACTGAAATAAAACAAGATCAGCGTTCGTAAAAATGAAATGTCAGAAGCTCAAGGCCTTTGAGATGTGATGGTATAGAATTTATGATGCCTTAAGAATTTTATGGGTGGATCTTGTGACTAATGTTGAGGTCTTAAGTAAAATGGGCAAGGAATGCAAGATTAATAAAACTATCAAAGGGTGCAAATCTTGGCACAGTGTGCAAGAGTGCAAAAGAATATCGTGGGCCATGTTACGTAAAATAAATTAAGATATGGCTTGTTGCAACTCATTCTTGAGTACAAGATATTTGGAAATAAAGGAACAAAAAAAATAATATTATCGTTGCTTCAAAACCTAAGAAAGTGGTTCAATATATCTACAAACCCACTATTACATATAGCTTAAGTAAAGTTAAAATGTGTAAGTGGTGACCAACTTTTTGCAGCAATCCATAAACTAATAGTACTTATATGGCAAAATGAATTGGTACCAGAAAAGTGGCTAAAGAGAATTCTATGTCCAATGCATAAAAAGGGTGATCAACTGGAGTGTAACAATTATAGAGGCATTACTGTGTTAGCATCTGCGTATAAAATCTTCATCAATATATTATTTGAAAGACTTAAACATTTTACAAAGGATATTGTTGGTCAATATCAATATGGATTTACTGCTGGAAAAACAACTACACATCAAAGTCCAGACAAAGGCAAATGCTAAATAGTCACTTAAATATATAATAGATACAGACCATCTCTTCATCGACTTCAAAGCAGCCTATGATAGTGTGAAAAGAACTGCGTTGAATATAATGCAATGATAAACTTTGACATCCCACCTAAGTTAGTTAAGTTGACCCAACTAACAATGCAAAACCCAAGCTCATGCGTTGGAATTGAAGGAGAAAACTCTACGTTCTTTGACATTAATAGTAGTCTACGACAGGAGGATGCGCTGGCGTGTCTCCTCTTTATTATTACCTTGGAAAAGGCAATCAGACAACTAAAAATTAGAATAAATATAACTATTTTTAATAGATTGACAAAAGTATAATTTGCATTCGCTGACGATATAGTTATAATGGGCAGAAGTATGAGAGACATGGTGTAGTGTTTTACGAGGCTTGCGGACGCGGCAAGTGAATTAGGACTTGAGGTAAACGGGGAAAAAACCAAATATATATTGGTTTTTAAAAACCACCGAAATATCCAACAGATAATTCAAATTAACAACCATACCTTTAAGCAAGTCAAAGAATTCTCTAGAAACACTTTAAAAATAAATATAGGTAAAGAAATAATAAATAAGACTTACTCATAATCAATTTAATTTAACTATCAGACGACCGGTTTTGCTTTCTACAATATGCAAAGCATCTTCAGGTCTCGATACAAAGTTAAATAAATGCTGAAATGATAAAAACCGATATTAGGGTGTTGTCTAATAAAGATAAACAAATTAGATGTAAATTACAATAATCATGCCAATATTACATGTCTGTGGTTTTATTTGAAAATGAGTAAGTTGAATAAAAAGGTATAAAAAGTTTTAAAAGTTTAAACAGACAAGGTAAGGCCCACAAATTGTTATAAAATAGTCTATTAGATTGTAATAAATTAATAAATGAGCAAATAAATAAACATTACTTACATGCCGGTACTCTATTAATTGATGGATGGTAGAACATGGTTGAAACTACTATGTATTGTTGAATGGAGAACTCAATTCTGCTATTGTAGTTGTTTGACAGTAAACGGGAAGTTCTTGAGGAGATAGATTTGATCCAATGAAGCAGAGATATGTGTGTGATTGTTTGTTAAATGAAAGTGATGTTATATACCATTGTATTATTTAGAAGTTATTTATACTTGTATAAAAAAAAACTCATTGTGCCCAAGACTATGATGTAGTGCAATAAAGTCCTTCCCCCCTTTTAAATTCAATGTTTGTTTCGTCCCTTCTAAGTGTTTTCTATTTTAGTGTGTTTAAATTATCCTTAATTGTCTGTATTTTAACATTTTATTTACTTGACTATTCCAATAATTAACTCATTGCCAATAGAACTTTATCAAAGTAATTTGATAACTACAAGTTGTGAAAATAATTGCACACCCACACAATCTTTACATCTACACCTATTCATTGTCATAAAACTGTCACCTTCAAAAAAACAATTACTCAATAAATAACGCACATTTCAAAAATATATCTCTGGAATAAGTATAAATAGCCTTTAATACAACAATAGTATATTACATCACTTACATTTAACAAACAAGCTCACACATATCTCTAATTCATTGGATCAAATCTATCTCCTCAAGAACTTCCCGTTTACTGTCAAACAACTGCAGTGATAGAATTGAGTTCTCCATTCAACAATATAAAGTAGTTTCAACCATGTTCTACCATCCATCTATTAATAGAGTACCGGCATCATTTGTTTAACTTTGTATCGAGACCTGAGGATGCTTTGTATATTGTAGAAAGCGAAACCGGTCGTCTGATAGTTAAATTAAATTGATTGTGAGTCAGTCTTATTTATTATTTCTTTACCTATTATTTATACTTATTCGAGAGATATATTTCTGAAATGTGTGTTATTTATTGAGTAATTGTTTTATGAAGGTGACAGTTTTATGACAATGAATAAGTTTAGATGTACAAATTGTGTGGGTGTGCAATTATTTTTCAACTTGTAGTTGAAAAGTACAGTATAGTATTGTAGTATAGTATCAAATTTCTTTGATAAAGTTCAAAAAAAAAGAAAAAAAAAATAATTGCACACCCACACAATTTGTACATCTAAACTTATTCATTGTCATAAAATTGTCACCTTCATAAAACAATTACTCAATAAATAACACACATTTCATAAAAATATATCTCTCGAATAAGTATAAATAACTTTTAAATAATACAATGGTATATAACATCACTTTCATTTAACAAACAATCACACACATATCTCTGCTTTATTGGATCAAATCTATCCCCTCAAGAACTTCCCGTTTATTGTCAAACAACTACAATAGCAGAATTGAATTCTCCATTCAACAATACATAGTAGTTTCAACCATGTTCTACCATCCATCAATTAATAGAGTACCGGCATTTAAGTAATATTTATTTATTTGCTCATTTATTAATTTATTACAATCTAATAGACTATTTTATAACAATTTGTGGGTCTTACCTTGTCTGTTTAAACTTTTAAAACTTTTTATACCTTTTTATTCAACTTACTCATTTTGAAATAAAACCACAGACATGTAATGTTAGCATAATTATTGTAATTTACAACATCTAATTTGTTTATCTTTATTAGACAACACCCTAATATGGGTTTTTATCATTTCAGCATTTATTTAACTTTGTATCGAGACCTGAAGATGCTTTGCATATTGTAGAAAGCGAAACCGGTCGTCTTATAGTTAAATTAAATTGATTGTAAGTCTTATTTATTATTTATTTACCTATTTGAAATGGACTCACACAAGCAACACATTCATGATTTTAAAAAATAAAAATGTAAACATGACTTTAATAAGACCGGTTTTGATATGTGCGACTGAAACGTGGGCCTAATCTCAAAATTATGAAAGATTCCTTGGTATTTTTGAGAAAAAAATGCTTAAGAAAGATTTTTGGGGCCGTAAATGAAAATGGACTATGGCGTCGAAGATACAACTTTGAACTATTATCAGTTATACACTTATCCAAATATTATGAAATTTGTTAAAAGAAATTTAGATGGACTGGAGACATTGCTAGAATGTCAGATCAGGAATACACAAAGAGATTAACATTTTTAAAACCAGAGGGCACAAGAAATAAAGGACGACCACGAGGGAGATGAATTGATGATGTCGAAGAAGGCTTACAGATTATAGAGGTCAGAAGATGAAGGGAAGTTACCAGGAATCGACAAAAGTGACGACTTCTTTGTGAGAAGCCCAAGGTCCACAACAGATTGTCAAGCCACTTATGATGATGACAGTTACGATAGTCATGCTGATTGCCAATATCCAGAACGTATAGGCATCGTGAAAAGAAGAGCATTCTAATCATGGTAAAATAAAACAACAGCTAATATAAAAAAAAATTTATTTTACATATCATTTAAAATCTGTTGAATTTCGTCTAACGTCTTTCCTTTAGTTTCAGGTACAACGTAGTAAGCAATAAAAGTAAAAACAATATTACAAAAACCAAACAGGTAAAATGGTCCATATAGACCAGTAGCAGAATTTAAGTAATAGAAAATATTATTGGTTATAATTATACTGCCTGCAAACGTACAAGTAAGAACACTAATACCTTTAGATTTAATACTGGTTGCAAACAGTTCACCCAACATTAATGTTGGTATAATTCCCACTCCAAACGAGGAAACTACTACAAATAGAAGCATACCCACTAAAGGATACCATTTCCAGGATTCCAAGTTAATTTCTGTATGTACCGTATCTAAGTAAAAATATGTAGCTTCGGATAAAACTACAATTCCTGCCAGAAATATTGATATCATATACGCCTTTCTTCGTCCCATTTTATTAGATAAATATGCTGCACATGAATACATAAGAACAGTGACTCCAGTGTAAATTATAGCTGACATTTGAGGACTAATATTACCTCCTGCTTTAGCAAAAATAAATTGAGTATATGCAGCAAAAACATAAACACCCGTGAGCAGTTGTGATATTCTCAGAAATACGCCAGCAGTTAATGCTTTTCTGTTGGCTTTGATGCTTATTAGATCTTTCCAGGAACCACATTCTTGTGATTGTTTTTCAACAGATACTTTCATAACTGTAAATTCAGATTCTACGTCTTCCTTACATCTTAACCACCTTAAACTAGATTTTGCGTCTTCAAGTCTGTTTCGCATTATTAGATAATATGGAGATTCAGGCATAAAACTAAAAATTATTAAAAATAGAACTGGTATAGCTAAACCTATATAAGATGTCAATTGTACATTGCAATAGCTCCCAATAATATTCATTCCACATTGTCCTAAAAATACAGCAATTATAAAAGAGTTTCCCCATATGCCTCGTATTTTAGGTGTCGAAATTTCCCCTATGTATACAGGAAGCGCAGCAAACACTATCGCATCTCCAGCTCCAGCAAGAAACCTCGCCAAATACAGTAACCATATATTTGTACAAAAAGCTTTTAAAATAAAACTTATAATATAAGGCACAGTTGATAAGTTTAGAATAGTTTTTCTGCCAATAATTTGGGAAATTGACACCAAAAAGATGGGTAAAATGAGCATTCCTGCTGCGTGTGTGATAGTAAAGTAGGAGGCTTCATTTTCAGATATATTGTAATTTACCTTATCTTGAGTAATCTTAAGTAAAAAAGGAGAAGGCCAAGCGTAGAGCAGTCCACTGGTAAATGCAACGAACGATCCTAAAAAAACCATATTTATTTATACAAGTGTATTTATTTAGACAACTATACACACATTACAATTAAAGAACCTAAAACTAAAATATATTAACAAAAAAATTAAATATAGAGGGTTGCGCTTCGATTCAACTCGAGTGTTCGAAGACTTTATGAGAGGATTGAATTAAACCGACGCCGACGCAGTCATTAGTAAAATAATACACCACTGAATACTCATAGCGACCTCTAACGAGATAAAATGAAGTCACTGTCGTAGTAATTACAGTAAACTGTAAACACAAACTAATACTAATAAAGCTTATAGATAGATGTTCTACAATGATCGAAATCGAACATTTAACCCCCTCTGTGGCTCAGTGGTAAGAGCGCCTACCTTTAAAACTAAAGGTCGTGAGTTCGAATCCCACCTGGGTGGAAATTTTCGTTTATTAAAAAAATTAAATAAATGAAAATAATTTCTAATCCTTGTGTGATCGGTACTTACCAGAGGGACCGCAGACGTTCGGATACAATTAGCGTCTCTTAGCAAAGACAATGACGTCGACTTTGCTAAGTATCAAGACAATTACTCTACACACACAAACACACACAAACACACACACACTACATTAATAAACTTATCTTGATTGAGACTGGCTGAATGACAATTATCCAAGCCAAAACACACAAAACAAAAATCGAACATTTATATTCCAGTAGTACATCAACTATTTACCCATGTCAGCTTTAATTTTGTACTCTTCTCGTCCTTGTTAGTAAAAAATGTACCAATCAATGCTAATAATAACCTCTAACAATCATAAAAATGACATATAATATAGTATTTTTAACCCTTATATGGGGAACACTGTACAGGGTGTCCCAAATTGGTACGTTTTGCAGGGTATACTGAAAACAAGACGAGATAGTTAACCCTTTCGAATCTGACGGGACGTATTTATCCCAGTCATAACAGTATCAATCTTTTGGGCTAAATCTAAACCGTTTTATATGAATTTTTATAGTAACCGACTTTCTAAGAACTTAACATCAGTTTTGAAAGAATAATTTGTGAAAGCGACAACATTGCAAACTGTTTTCGTGTTGTGTTTGCTTGTGATGTTGATAGATGGACTGTGCTTATGTAGTTTTGTTGATGATTACCACAGGGACAGTTGTGCAATGTTACTGTTGTTTCGAATTTGTTTTTGTGAGTGGAGCTACCTACAAAAAAGGTAAATATATTCAATAAAACTAGTATTTTGTTTTATGGTAAAATTGGCCTAACAAACATTTATGGTGGGTTATATGTATCCCAACAGTCTTGCTTTGTTCTAGATGAGTAGAAAGATATTGACGCAGAAAGAGCTAGAGGAGGAGGCAGCAGCCATTTTTACCAGCGATACTGAATTCAAAATCTCCGATTAAAAGTCTTTTGAGACTAGTGGCTCCGATGATGAAGACTACAATCCATCAGGATGTGAAGAAGACGTAGAACGTGAGCATTACGAAATAGATTCAGGTTCCGAGGGCAATAAGATGGATGATGAGAATCAGATGATAAGTGACGCAAGTAAAGAAGAAAGCAGTAGTGACGAAAATGATGAAGAAGGCGAAAGTATGTACCAACCCTGTATTTGGTTTCATAACCATGGAACTTTTTTACCACGTTTTTCGGTTCCATCAAAAAAAAAGTCGATTTTACTCTTTCTCATACCATGACTGAAATAGGAATATTTCTAAAAGTCTTTCCCAAGAGCCTCATTCGACATAATGCACATTGTATAAACTTACGTTTAGAGAAATTTGGAAACGACACCAGAAAAAAAGAATTCCTACTGATGATGAACATGAAATTATGATTGCATTGGGTGTTACACTAATCATGGCATATAATCGAGTTCCATCTTTTAATGATTATTGGTCACAAAATGATTCTTTAGGAAATTTAGCAATTTCTCGAGACCGTTGTAAACTGATCCTTGCTAAAATAATATGGTAAAGCCTGACAATGCGAGAAAATCATATTACATCTACTTTCTTTACAGATTTTGCCTTTTAGCTGGTAGCACAACATTTGGCAGCGGCGACCGATTTTTTTTTTAGTTGTTCCTCCAGTTTTTATTTTTCTTCTGAACTAGGCTTTGTAGATCCAGAACATGATAAGATAGAAGGTAACTTGAAGATCCCGACGCTCCTTTTTTCTTTGTTTACACCAAGGATCCAGTAGCAACTGCAGGTTTTAAATATTTTTGATTATTGGTGCAACTTTTTCTGCATCTAGTTTGTAATTTGCAGCGATATATTTCTTAATAGGGTAAAGATAAGAACTACATCTTTTTTGAATGTTTGCCATCTTTTCATTTTTGAATGGTAAAGGTGTTTGTGGCGTTCCAGATTCTGACGTAGCCGAAGTAGCGGATGATTGGTTTTATATATTTAGCAATTTAACAAACATTAACTATGAATCCAAAATGTTCTATTTGCTGTCAAGTCTAGTACTTAAGTCATAATTGAAAAAGTTTCAATCAAAACTCACATAAGATATAATACGTTACGTTTAGGAAACTGATTCAAATAGCTACGTTTGACTTTTTAAACTCGATAGGCGCGAGACTATCATATTTACACACATCGACACTTGCGCTTGTGATTACTGCTATATATTACGGTGATGAAGTGTACCAGAAGTCCTTCCGGAAAAAGTGGAATCGACAATTGCAAAAATGAAAAGGGTTAAAGCAGTTGGAATAGATGGTATACCAGTGGAACTGCTTAAATACTTACTGCCTAAGAACGAGATACATATCAGACCACTGGAATACAGCAAACATAATTCTCATTTATAAAAAAAGGTATCAAAGTGGATATTAAAAGCTACAGACTTATAAGGGTTCTACCAATCATATACAAGATATTCACAAAGATCATTAACAGATTAACAAACGCATTAAATGCTGCACAGCCGAGAGAACAAGCTGGCTTCAAGTGCCATAGGATCATATTCATACACTTCGAGAACTAATAGCTAGCGAGAAAATACCGCTAACATTAACCTTCATAGCTATCGAGAAGGCTTTCGATTCTATATATCAAAAGTCAGTAATAGAAGCTTTGGCCAACCAATGCATTGACAAACCGTACATAGAAATTTTAGAAAATATATACAGATAAGCAAAAGGTAATATAAAAATTTATGAAAACACACCAGAATTTCCCACTTTCAGAGGCGTCCGACAAAGAGATGCAATATTACCAAAATTCTTCACTGCAACTCTAGAAAATATATTCAGCAAAATGAACTGGCAGAACAAAGAAATATCTATCAGCTAGCAATGAAGTTGGCCTAAAAATGAACTTGGCAAAAACAAAAACCATGTACAACGAACTAGTGGATGTCGAAGATATAATAATAAACGACACTGCGCTTGAGACCGTATACGAGTATGTATACCTGGGACAATTAATACATAAATCTGGCTCCTTACTTCCAGAAATTAACAGAAGATTGAAACTAGCTTGGACATCTTTAGGTAGAAATGCAGTTATATTCAAATCGAAGATGCCAATCCACCTGAAGAAAAAACATTCGATCAGTATATACTACAGATCATGTATATGGCTGCGAAACTTGGACACTAAAAAAGAGATAATATCGAAGTCACTCAAAGGTCATGGAGCGATGCATGCTAGTTATAGCAAAGAGAGATCGAAAAAGAATATAATGGATCAGACAGGAAAACCAAGGTTATTGATGTAATCCATAGAATTAAATCTATAAAATTGCAGTGGGCGGAACATTTAGCGAGAATAACTGACAATAAGTGGTCCACTAAAATTCTTCTTCTTCTTCTTTTGGCATCATATCCCTGGATGGCTCTTTGCCTGTCTGGCTATGTCCTTCCATTCAGATCTCTCTTGTGCCCTTCTTCTCCATTGTCTTATGTTCATTGTTTTCAGGTCGTCTTCCACGTCATCCAACCATCTCGTTCTGGGCCTTCCTTTTTTTCGCCTTTCTATGGGCTTCCATTGTGGTGCACTAGAATTACACTGTGGTATCCAAGAGGCGTCCAAATTTAAGATGGGACTATGGTACAACATGGCACAGAGAAACGAATTTTAGAGAATCGTAGGCAGACATGAAGAATTATTATGTAAGAGAGGCTACACAATAATCGGTAGAATATGCTGAGAATGAATTAATAATATATTAAAGATAATTATAATACAATATACCAGCGTAGGCTAGTAGCGACCATTATATGAAGTCAGGACACCCCATTGATGGTGAGTTAAGTAAAAAATCCAAGCTTACTGGCGTAAGCGTATTTAGACACGACAGGTATAACTTCCTTCAGCTTATTATAGAAGGGAAAATAGAAGGCAGACGCGGCCCGGGTAGACGACAAATGACCTGGCTGCGTAACATCAAAGATTGGACAGGATTAGATTTTGAAAGTTTAATAAGGAAAGCCAAAAATAGGCAAGACTCTGCAGAGGTCATCGCCAACCTTCGCTAAGAAGACGGCACCCAAAGAAGAAGAAGCTTACCGAAAGCAACAGGACGATGTTACGAATTACTTTATTCTGATAATACATCAATACATCACTTATGCAAAAACATTATCTTTTATATATCAGTTTATATATCAGTTTATATATCAGCTGTGAAAGAAAGATTTATAGAGATTTGATAAGTCGTGTCTCATCAATGAAATCTTTGACTTAGTGTATTATGCTTGGTATATTTATTGATGTGATTGGCGTAATATATTAGTTGAATTAATATTAACTACTTATGCCTGCCTTTGCATGAATATAATTGCTATTTATAAACATGTATCTTATTTGTCAAGTCAGCTTTTAATACACTACCCATATAAAGAAATTATTATACACGTGTGTGGTCAAAATTATAGTTGCGGATTGCTCAATTTATTTGTCTAACTATAATTTATATAATTAATTTAAATAATATTGCAATTTGTAAGCTTAAACTAGAAGACGCAACTGAGGAACTG